AATTCACAAGAAGATCATGAGTTAGTACTCATTTTAAAGTAAAACTATTTAAATTATGTTTAATTATATCATTGAATTGTAACTAGAATTCTGTTTATATTTTTGATTAAAATACAAAATTTATAACAACGAAAACAGTTGACATTGTCCATTATTTACTTGATCCAACTTTTAAAAAATTGATTTAAGCTTAGTTGTATTTTTTAACCAGATTTCATTTTGCATATATTACATTACAAAATATTAATGAATGACTATAAAATATACAATTTGTTTATAATTAATAAAATAAAGTATAACTTATTTTATTAGTGAAATTTTAAGTAAAAAAAAATAATGAAACAACCATACAACAACATACATATATTTTAGTTCATATTTATTGCATTGACTACAATGTTGGTTGTAAACGGCATTTTTCATTGAAGTGGCAGACACGATCCTAAATTGCCAAGTTAAGTACTCAATGTATATGGTAATAGTATACTGCAATATAGGTACCAATTACATTACAGCAGCGCCGCTTGTATTCATAAGGGAAGGTTTTCTAAAAATAAAAAATTACAAGACACGTTAAGTGCCGTTTATAAAAATATGCATTTATATGTTACTCTTAATGTAAGAAATCAAACTATTTGTGTTACGGACAGATTATGTTATTAATCAACAAATCATCTATAACACAGATTATAACTTAATATAGATAATGTATATCCACTCTTAAATAATATCATTAATTATAAAATCAAATTAGTGATCAATAAATATTCAAAGAAAAATACTCTCAACAATTTACATTTATTTTTTAATCGGCATTAGTGTAGTTTATAACAAGGAAAATTTTTGCGTGATTCTTTTAAACTATAAGAACTAGTCTATAAAATATTTTAACGCCCACTCTAATATATATATTATTATTAAGAATATCACTATTCTTAAGAGTAACAAATCAAATACATATTCTTATTATCAATATATTTATCTTTGCACCATTGAAGGTCTCATTAAAAAAATATTCAATAGTAAATTTTAATACTCGTATAATAAAATTACATTTGAAGTCGTATGTTATATTTAAGTTCATGACATTGTTTAAAAATTAATATTTATTATTTATTAAAAAAACAATTGATATAGAAGAGTAACTAGCCTAATTCTGACAAAAAAAGTAATACCATCACTCATACGTTTTTTTCCGAATAAAAAACTATTTGAAAAATTTAATAACCAATTTGCCACTTTTGTTTACATCATTTACCGCAAACTATCAAAATATATTGTTACCGACACATGTGTGTATTACAACAGAAACAAACATTTTTAAGCATACGTATTAATGTGTGCAATATATCTCATCGCCATTCTTCTCCGTTGTTTCATATAGGATTGAGCACGTTTTAACAAAATAATAATATTATACATACAACTTTAATTTACAGACCAATGATTTGATATTTTTAATACACGATTAAATACAAACTGATGTAGGAGGTAAATATTCATTAAGTATAAATTAAAAATTGATAATTTTATTTTTGGGTTGCATTTAAACTTTAAGCAAACGAATTAATAGAAAATCAATAACTTATCTTTAAACACGTGTTATAAAGCAAGCAACAAGTAAAAAATTATTTAGCAATATTCTTTACAATCCTTTATTTAATTCAAACAGTTAACTTAAAAAAACAAAAAGACGAAAGATAGTTTTAAACTTATTATATAGACTAAACTCGATTCAATCTGAAGCAACACTTCATTGTCTTTGTAATACAATCAAAAATCAAATCTTCCCTATACTTTACAAATGCTAATTTATTTTATTTCTGGTTGAACCTCTTATACTAACAATTGACATAAGCGAACAATGTTTTGTCATGAAGCACTACTGCTTGTTTAATATTCATGTGTATTGTTTTTAATATTATCACGAATACTATTAACGTCTTCACAAACAACTTCACAATATTAAATTGATTCATGACAGCTTATAAAATGATTCGTCTATCTTTTAAAAGTTGTCGAAAATTAAAAATGTAGATATAAGTCAGTAGCTAGTATAATATGGTAACTGTATTGTAAGTAACCGGTTTACAAGATAAACAGTGATAAATTAATAGCACTACAGAAGAGCAGTGCGTTACTGCAGTTTAAATATTATGTGCGTTGAAAATAAAAGTAAAAAACAAACATAAAAAAGCAACTTAATCCTAGTGATTTATTGTATGAAAAAGATATTAAAGTTCAAGATTCTAGTTCAAGCTACTATTACTATATTATATTTGTACATTATCTTCTTAAAATGTCATAATAACTTCATTAATAAAATTACTAAATTCGAATAATGAAGTGAAACTGCGAATGGGAATTTGTTAAAAGGAACTTATGTAACTTTTTAAAAAGTTTTTAGGAAAAACAAAAAACTATTTTGATCTTTATAAAATTATTTATTCAATTCCATCATCACAATTTCGATTAAATAATAATGTATTAAAAATAATTAGCGAATAAAAATATTATTAAAATCGTTAGTGTTTCTATAAATTTATTATACATTTATTTAAATAAACATACATATATTACACAGTATTAAATTATGAAGTAATTTAATCATTATTATTTAATTTACTTTTAGAATCAGTTACTTCATATTTAAGTGCACTATAAAATTTGTTACTTTTTGTTTTATTAATGATTAACTGTCCTACAGCAGTCCGATTTAACCCTAACTTCAAGCTCTTCACATTTAGTATAAAAATTCACCTGTGGTCGTCTAATCTTAAGTTAAAATTTCCCTTAAAATAGTTTAAATATTAGCTGTAACTAGCTTTTGTATTTGAGTATTAAATTTTAATTAACTCATGCATTCTTTTAGTATTTAACTCTGGTTTTAAATAGTTAACTGGATTTTCTAAAAATTGACTTTCTGAAACCAGAAACGATACAATATGATTTTGTATTTTTAGTTTTGTATCAACAGGTAAGCTAAAACTTGTATGTCGTCCCACCGATCGTAAGGAGTTAATCCATTAAACTTATAACCGAACCAGTATTTTAATACGTTTATCAGATAAAAAATATAATAATAAAAAAGTAATTTGACAAATTTTTAAATACATATCTCCTAACATCACACAGTATTTCAAAGTTTACAGCTTTGTCATTTTGACTGCTTGTTGACATTTTCATTTTAATATTATGTTTATCAATCAAGTTTTGTAAAAAAAATATCCTGTTCATCCTGTGTAACATTTTTTAAAAGATGTAAAATTTCTTATTGATTTTATATAGAAATAGTATCACACTTTAATAAACACCAAGTGTTTGTTAAAAACACCTATATCATAGACATAGGTGTCGTAAAATTGTACTACTTTAATTTAAATGTTAACTTAGGGTAGTACGATTTTTCAAACTAATTTAGAAAAAAAATTATTATACTATGGAGTTCTATACACAAAAATTCTAAATCCAAATAATTCTCAAACGAGAGACTAGTGAAAAATCATTCGCCAGTATACTAAGAAAATATTTCCAGGAAAGTGTAATTGAAAATGTTACCGTTGTTTATCATCATATAGTCAAATAATATTGTTTTCATACTTTCTAGTCTAAAAAACTGAATGTTAAACATTAAGAAATTGATTTTTTTTTTAATTGTTTATCACCATTCAATGAAATAATATTGTTTTCATGTTTTCTGATATAAAGAACTGAATATTAAACACTAAGACATTATGTGGGAGTTACTGCATACAAATAAGGCAATCGGAGACCTGCATGATATAAATATTTTCTAACATCGTCATGTCGAGTTAACTTGTACAAATATATACTTGTAATATGTCTCGGGATATACCTATACATTTTTTTTTTTAAATATAACCGACTTCGCAAAAATATCAAAAAATACTTCAATAAAACTCAAAAGTTGAAAGTCAATTTGTCAATTTTTATAGATAGACAATGTCTATGTTTTTTAGTAGGTCTTCACATACTTGGGTCAATATCTTTGTATTACGTTAAATAAAAGTTAAACAAGAACCACAACATATCGTCTAAGTATTCCTTTATTATATAAAAAAAAATATGATGTGATATTGCGTATAAAATAATGCCGATATAAACAATAATAAAACTTTGTTTTTGTAATAACAACGATAAAGTTAAATAATTTAATAAAGTTAAATAATTTTTTTTTAATTTTACGTCAAATACTGAATAGGGATACAACAACTATTAGTGATTAGGTCAACTGCCGTAAACAACTTATATACATACATACTTGTAACGAAAAGTTTAAAAATTGAATTGAACTAAATTTGACCTAGTTCACTGTTTCTTAAAGTTTGATAAGAAAAAATCCAATCTCATTTCCCGTACAAAATATACAACACTCCGTCATGACGGAGCGTTAATATTGTTTACATCATCGTAGTTAGGTTAACGAACAAACGTTCAAAATTGTAATAAAGAATATGGCTAAATCATACATATAAATTTTTTAATTCCACACATTTAAAAAATATGCTTGAACTTCCCAAATTCCAATATTTTTACACTGGCCATAAATTCTTAAGTCATCTGATAGATAATAGTAAATTTGTTTCTTGTAATCTCAATAAAATACTTACTTGAATAATTACTTAGGAAATTTTAATGTAACAATCTAATAACGGTTTTGGTTAATGTTATAGGTACATTTTAATATTCTTTAAACATGAATTTATAATATACAGTTCATATTATCAAGACGTATTGTTTTAATTCATAGTAATATTTCATACACTCAACAGAGTAACTTCTTTTTGTTACGTTACATTTCATTAAAAATTTAATCATTTAATAAAACTATTTAACTAAATGTTCTCAACCAATATTTTAAAAATGTTACATAAGTAGTAATCATTTAGTAAAATAGTTAAAAATATCAAAGTTAAAAAATATAACTTATATAAATAATTGAAATAAAATTAATTCATAATAATTAAAGAAAAACTTACCAGATTTTCCAACCCGTGAACTTCCCAGCACCACAGTTCGAATTCGTCCAATATTTGTCATTTTATAATATGCAGCTATCTGAAATAAGCAACGGATCAATTATCACTAATAAGATTATACAAATGTAAAAATGGCATATTAATACAATTCTGTAAAAATTTTAATTTTACTTGGAAACTAAAAATATTGATTTACCTCTTTAAAACGAACATTATTGAAAAACTATACTCAGGTTAAAAACATACATACATTTAAAAAAAAACTGTTGAATAAATTCCAGTTTGTCAAGAGTTTGTTTCGCTTTTTTTTTTATTATTCTAAAAAATATTTCCTAGAAAACTTATTTATTTTGCTATAGTATTTAGAAAGGTATATACATATTTCTATTAAAACTTAAATTTGAAAGATTTTTTTGATTAATTCACGAGAATTGCAACCCAAAAAAAAATTATAATTAATAGACCAATGAGACCTAGATAAGAATGGACCTGTCACCAAACTGGGTTTTATGATGTAAGTGTATAAATAATTTACAATAATACATTGTAAAAAAAATTGTTTTCATTAAATTTCATTAGAAGTTAAATAAAAATCTATACAAATTTTTATCATACCATAAATATTTTAAACATAATTTGTTCTTTTGTAAAATTTTCTAAATGTTAATATAATAAAATGATTTATGTAAGTTTTAAATCAGATTTAATTATTTTGACTAATTAATGAAACTAGATTTTTATATTTTTTTCCTTTGATTCAAACTCACAATTAATAATATTATCTATTTATTATAAACAGACCTAAGTACTAATTAATTTATTAACGCTTAACCGTTAAACAATTACAAAAATATAAGTAAAAATTGGAAAATATTCCAATTATGACTCATTATAACATAAAATTATATTAAAATATAATAATGTTAACTATTGTTATTTTATAAAAAATTAATAGAATTAAACCAATACTATAAAAAACGCTTGAAAAAATTAACAGATACACGTATTTAGATAAAAAAAATGTTAAACAGATCTTTCTGACGCCAATGATGAAAACATTGTTTTCAAAATACATGTATCTGCTGATTTTTCTAGCACTTTTTGTGGTATTCGATTAATTTCATTTATTTAAAATTATCAATTCTATTTTTTAGGGTTTATTTTAATTAATTTTTTTTTTCAATATTGTTATTTTAATTTAAAAAAAATTGTATTTTTTGCATTCATGAGGAAATTAGAGAGAAAGTGAATTTCATAGTTTTATGTGAAAGAAGGCAAATAAAATAAAATAAATATTTTAAGGAAATCAATTGAATTTTCCAATAAAGATTTTAAGGAATTAGATATATTTTATCTAGTTTAACGTATAATATTAAACATAAAAAAAAGAAAATTCAAACATTTATTTTGAATTTTTCAGATTATATAATTTCTTTTTGATATATTTTTATTCCAAATGATTGAGCAAACTATAAATTAGGACGCATTAATAGAAAAATGTTTAGCCAGTGAAGTTCGGTAAAATTAATAGATATTTTTAAAGTATCGTAAATTATTTATAAATTTGTTTACTAACAAATTAGTATAGTAAACAAAGTTAAGGTAGAAATCAAAAATAATACTTAAATCTTTCATAACTTTAACACGTTCTAAAATAATATTTGATAAAGAGCAGTTATAACTTTAGGGTCTTTGATAAAATAATTTGCATTTACATATCAAATTAATAAAATTGTATTATGTTCACACATACGTTCGATACTTTTTAATTATAGAAAATAAATAAACTTAACCCATATGAACACTAATTGTAGAAGATTTATGCTGAGACTAATATGTATATACAATTGGAATATAGGAATACCTTAGACAAATTTTAAAGACAGATACTAAACAACAAGATGTTATTTTATCATTTTCTTATAACGCTTAAATATTTGATTATAATCAGGGGATCCACGCCGGTTACCGGTGTCTTACCAGTTACTTTTCCCAAGTACTGGTTAAAACCCTTTTTTATAATAATTATAAAAAAGGGTTTTAAAAGAATTACAAAAGAATATGGTAACTACTTCTTAATTATTAAAAAGTAGTTACCATATTTTTTTGTCTTAAAAAAAATTATGGTAATCTATTACTAGTAATCGAATATTTTTTTTAATTATTAATCGGTATACAATATTTAATATATTAGAGAATCGGGTTTTTAACAATAACAGATAACCTCTTTAAATTAATCGGTTAAATACAAAAATGAAGAATTCATTTTAATAAAGTTTAGTTAGAATTGAAAATGTATTTTTACATCCGTGTTATTATTAAATATTAAGTATCCATAGTAAATAAAAGCAGAGATTATTAGAGGGGTAATAAATTTCCTCGGATCAAAAATAATTACAAAGTAGAGATCATTTTTTTTTCTTAAAGAAAAAATTTACTTATGTATAACTTCTCAGAACAAAAGCCTAACTGTACCATTAAATGTTACTACAACAGTAGTAAATTTGTGTCAACCCCTTATGAAAAAAATAGTTAAAGATACACTCGAAGAGGGGTGTAGTAAAAAATCATCTTATGCATAGCCTCCCTGAAAAAACTTTTTGTGTAAAAATAAATACTTTAAAATTTTACTTTATTATTTTTACTATAATAAAATCATAACAGGTTTTGAGCGGTTAACATTGATTTTCTTTTTTTCCATATTTAAAAAAAAAACGGTAATTGACAACAGCTTTTTACAAAACCGGTAACCTTATACCGGTTACCAATTTTAAGTAAAATTCGATTTTCACCAAGACCGATTATCCTTTTTTTTTTTTTTTGGTAATAGTTTCAAACCCTGATTATGTTTTTAAAATATTGGTTTACAAATCAATATTACAGTTACATCAACTGATCATTTAAAATTTAAATAATACAGTAATCGAGAATAAAAATTACTATCTTGTAAATTAAGCTAAAATTTAACTAAATAGATATTTTATAAAAATATGCATCTGTACAAAAAAAATAATGAACTAGCAAAAAGAGAGATAAATGATAAGATAATTCAAGCGACCTCAAAGCAATGATGTTGTTACTATATCTATCTTTAACAGATTTCGTCTAGCCTTGCTAGCTACTAATTTTTGAATGTCCATTTCTAACGCACTCCCAAAACATATATTTACTGGCGCCAAATTAAATGTTAGCATTTTGTCTTATACTAAAAAACATATAATTACAATGTATACTATAAAAGCTAGTTAATGTGTAAAAAAAAGATACTATATTGTTTTGGAAACTTTACAAATAGTAAAGTAGAACGGAAGTATAAAACTACTAAATTAATTATTTATACATCCAATGTAAGAATAAAATAATTCATAAATTATAAACTAATTATAAATTTGGATGAAATCTAATGCTATTCATAGTAAGGTAAAAAAAAATCTGTTAATAAATATCATTATAAATATAAAAACATTTAAATACATAACACATTTTTTTTTTTGAAAATTAATTTTATCTAAAAATTTTTCATAAAATATTTTTAAATATTTAAATCAAAAATAACTAAAAAATTTTGAAAAACGAATCAACATTGTTAATTAACTATAAAGTACATATTTGTGTTTATACTATAGCACGGTGTTACTTTATCAACGGTCTGAAATAAAATACATAGATATTCATTTGATGGTATGCGCCCTTGCTAACGTTTAAAGAAACTAAAAATCCAGTCAATCTAAATGATGGATGAAATAAACTAAACAATATATGTAGATAATTATTTTTTCGTTGATAAGTGAAATCAGTAGACACGTTGAAGTTTAAATTATCGTTTAAAATGTTGTTATACAGCACACTGACAATATGCACTTACTTTATCATTAAAACATTAATTTCGAACTTACCTTGTCAAATTAAGAACTCGAAAAATGTATTCAGTGCAATTCAACTTTTAAATGGAGATTTAAAATTTTAACGACCGGATATCGAATATCCATTATAATATCCATTGAATATAACAATAAAACGGCGGTATTTGTGGTGGAAATTCGCCATATGTTTGCAGTATCGAATACAACAAAAAAAAATATTTATTAACAACAAAAATTATAAGTAACACGATTTTACAAAAAAAAATCGCTTAAATCGTATGAATACGACTTGATAAACGACTAACACCACAAAACCAACAGAGTACTTGTATACTACACACCGAACACGTTGCGACTGATAGCACACAACGCGGGAATTATATACGTCTGTTAGACACTACACGTTATGAATAAGCTGCTGCACTTACCCGTTTTTAGTTGTTAGCACGCCCCGTCACTGTTGGTTAATAATCATAATCATCGCCTAAATATTTAGTTATTTATTGTATTGAAAACTAATTAAGTTAAACCCAAAAAATCATAATTTTTCAACAATAACAATCTCACTATCTTTGTTTCCACGTAATATACCTACGATTTTTTTTGCATAGTTAGCCACGACTACTTACGTTATCTATACCATACCTAACGCTTCAATTTCCATGATTGAATATATCAATTGAACTTTACCCAAATTAATTATATTACCGACACTTTATTATTAATAATGTTTATTACATAAAGTACAAAATAATAAACGAAAATAAATACATAGTGTAATTGACTGCTAAGCGTTCCTATATTGCCGACTTCAGTTGTACTCCTATATTTCTTGTGACCATATTATTTTAGCTTCGATGCGAAGCTGAGTAAATAATTAATTTTACTTTTTTTTTTTTTTTTTGTGTCTGTTGCAACTTTTTCTCAGCTCTCATTTGACCGATTTCTTTCAATGATACGTCAAAAGATCACAAATCGTATCTAGTTAAAGACATTGCCCTCAAAAATTAAAAAAAATTTCCCTCGTTCCCCGTAAATGATGAAAATCCCCCCAAAAGTTACAATTTTTTAAATCAGTAAATTTTGATAATTTTTTCTTTTTTTTTCTTAAAATTGCTATAACTTTTTGAAAAATTAACGAATGAACATAATTTGTTTATTATATTAAAATCTTAGATATTTCCCTTTTATTTGAAATTATTTTTTTGAAAATCTAACACTTAATCTGCCCACAAGAGAGGATTCAAAATAGCAACATGATTCTAACTTGCATTAAATACAAATTTATACTTATTTTGATTATTTTGCTTCTTCAAAGTTCATAAACTTAACTTTTGAAAATGTTCCGGGAATACTGCCTCTTTTAAATATATGTTAAAATAAAGTTTATTTTATGTACTAAAAGTTCAAAAAAATAATTTGTATCAACGACCTATTTTCTACTAAACACGATCAACGGATTTGCATCGAAGCATTTCTCATGATAGTGATAAATATCATCTATATTTGTCCTAATTATGCTACATCCATACTGCTCCACAACCCAACTGTGCTACCGTTTTTTTATTCAATGGATGTTATGAACTCATTGTTCATATAAGGGTGATTGTCCAATACAATTCACTTTACGTTTCAAAATTACTATCAATATTTTGTAATATTTTATATTTAATGAGTAATAAACAATCAATAATTTAGATATAACATAATAATTACATACAAATAAAATATAATATTCCTTAACTAAGAAAATCATAGGTATACAATTTCATTGTAACCTAAAATAAATGTATCAATCTTAGAAAACATCAATTTAAACTACAATTTGTTTCATTGTTAATCAACTATACAATTATTTTGATAAAATGAAGATAATATTGTTAATTATTAAAAATTTTTACTTTTAACATCATATGAGTTTTAAAATTTAATACAATTATATTTTATAAATAATAAATTTTATAAAAACTAAAATTTTATAATTGGTAATTAATAATACATAATTGCAAAACTATTATTCTCATATTATTGGGTTAACAGAAATCATATAGTGAAATATTAAAAATGCACATATTTTAATACAACTCTTGTTAATATTGATGGATAATTTACTATAAAGAAAGTCTCATTGTCAATAAAACAAAGAGATATGTAGAACATTATGACCGAGTTATTAAATATGCANAACACTTTATTAAATTATTATATATATATATATTAGAGTTATCTTCAACAAAATAAAAATATAAATATAGCATTTTTATGTCAGTAAAAAAAGTACTGTAAAAATTACTGAATCAAAAACTCAAAAATAATATTTTCTTCAAATATCAATAATTTTTACAGACTACACAAGTGATGAACATTTAACTAGAGTACATATATATAATTTTTTATTTTTTACAGAAATCATAAAATCATTAAAATTGTATACATGTAAAAATATGACTCTAATATAAAAAAAATATTTACGTTCAGATACTATCGTTTTAATCCTAGTTTTAAACTTTCTTCTAGCATTGTTATTGAAGAAATTCTACATGAAACACAGTCTTCAGGCAAAACCTGCAATACAATTTTTGAGTAATGACTAGTACACATTAAATATTTAAATATAATTTACTTTTATAAAATTGTGATCTAAAAGATCAGAAGTAGTAGCTCTTAAATTTGGATCATGCTTTAGACATAGATCTACAAACTGTTGACCTTCATTACACAATGCTTCTGGTGTTGTTGGTGAAAATCCCATTCCTACTTTAAACATGATTTGATAGTTTGAATCATATTCAAACCAAGGTCTCTAAAAAAATTATAATTTTAAACTTAATTTAAATATTAAATAAAGATTTAAATTATTTATTAGTTGCTTAAAAGGGTCTAACAAGCACATATGAAAAGCAGAATAGAAGTTTTCCTACTAAAAAAGGGCTGTACTTTATAATTTAATTACATTTTTATAGATAAAAATTATTTGCATTAGTCCCTCTATTTCTAGTTCTGACTCTGCTTCAATGCATTAGTTAAAGTGAATAAACTCCTTAATATATTGAGTTATTAATTGTCCTCCTAACAATTATTATAAAGTCATTTAGTTCATAATTTTACACAGTAAAACTACATTAATGATATTCACATTACTTAAACATAATGCATAATTACTATATAGTTCTAAATGGCAAAATTGATTCTCTATAAATCATACACATGCAATTATCTTGAAAAAAAAATTGCTTAAAACGGTGTCTATTTTATGATCACAGTAAACACTTATGTACAACTTACTTTTCCTGAAGCCATTTCTATTACAACACAACCAACTGACCAAATATCTGCTGCTCTACCATGTCCATCAGTATTTGATTTCATAAATACTTCAGGTGCCATATAAGCTAAAATGTAATGATTTTTTTATTTTATTTTAACTTTTATTCTTTCTACTTATATTTAAATTATTTACCTTGTGTTCCAACAAAACCTTTAAGTTCTCCAGGAACTGTAGTAAGTGCATTCATTTTTACTGCTGAACCAAAGTCACCTAATTTTAAGCAATTACCTTCAGAAGTTAAAAATATATTTGCACCTAAAGTAATAATTTTAATTTTAAAAAATACTCAACCAAAAATATTTATTGAAAATTAAAAAAAATACTTTTAATATCTCTGTGAACTATTGCATGCTGATGTAAAATATCAACTCCACTAATTAATTGCTTTGTGAATCTACGAATCAGGCCTTCTGGTAAACCATTTTCAGTAGCAGCAACTAAATTTTCTAACGTACCTTCAGCACACAGTTCCATAAAAATGACCATTTCTTCCTACAATTTTTAAAATTAAAATTTTTTTATATAAAAACAAACTTTAATTAAACAATTTAAAAAACTTACCCTATGAATTTCAACACCATAATATCTTACAAGATTTTCATGAACAATACCTTCAAAAATTTTTAGCTCTACAGCTACACTTCTAATTGCTTTATGATCAAATGGTTGCAACTGGATTTCTTTCATTGCCATTAGTTCACCAGTTTCATTATTCACAGCAGTATATACTTTACCAAAACGACCCTGACCTATTTTTATACCTCTCTGCCAACTAAAGTTAACAGGACGAGGGCGAAGATAATCTATACGCTCAATGTTATACTCAGTTGTACGTACATGCCCAATTAATTCTTGTGATCTTAATCTTTCTTCAAGTTTATGATCAAGTTTATTGACAGCATCCATGACACGAACACTTCTATCAATATCTAAAAAGTAATAAGACTTGAAAATTAAAAATAATGATTTGATAATAAAAAAAAAAATAAAAACAACCTCCAACTTTGGAAAATTTTTCAGTCTTCATTATTTTATTTTTTCCTTCTATAACTGTAGATTGACGTTTCTTTTTAAATACATTGGAACTAAGATATCCTGAGTTATCATCATTATCCCCAATTATATACATAACACAATCTTCAATAAGGTTTTTAAAATCCTAAAATATAAATTGTTTGTTATAGAGATTTTCAGTGAATAATATTTATTGAGTTAATGGTATGATATCAATGAGTGTCAATGAAAAATATTACCTTAAAATCTTCATCACTGAGTCCAGCTATATTTTGAGGTTCACATACATTTAACAAAAATTCCAAACCAGTGTTTGCCCACTTTGGTTTTAAGCCTCGGCCCCGTTCACAACGTTCATGAACAAAATTTATCCAAAGTTTTGAAATAGATACATTATAAAAAGCCATTTGATCTTTGAATGGTCCACAAGCTATTCTATTTGCTTCTTTATGATACTTATTAAAAATATAAAGATATTTTTATAATTAAACACAATATATATTTAATATAAACACTTTATTAAATTATTATACCTCAAAAGCAAATTTGTACATTTGCTGTAACACATCTCGTATTCGAGGGGCAAGAGTTAAATCATCAATATCATTGTGACAAGTATTAAATGCTTTTTCCACAGACATAATCATTTCAGTAATGCGTTGACAAGTTTCAAATACTTTTTCCTTATTGTAAATTTTAATATTATATCAATAATTAAAAGTAATAAAAAGGTATTCATGAAATAATCTTTAATTGTGGCAACTATTAAAATAGTTTATTAAATAATATTAACTATTAGAATATTTTTAAACTTATAAGCTTTCAATAGTATTGTATAAATCGGTCATTACACAATAGATAAATAATACTATTTACTTTTAAAGGTTTCATTGTAACCCAAATAGGTGGTAAAGCATTCTTCATCACATCACTTTCATTCTTCTTATTTTTTTTAAAGTGTTCAATAAGATCTTTACAGATGGTTTTTATAAGAGACATTACTAGTAAAGCCTTTTCACGATATAACCCCAATATACTTTGTAATTCTCGACATACCAGTAATACATTTTGTCTGTAAATTAAAAAATATATATTGAAAAAAAAACAAAATTTTTTTTAGAATAAATATTTACTTGGCATGAGACAGATCGACATTAATTAACATTTTGGAATAACCTAATATATTATTTTTGAAATTTTCAGCAGTTGTTTCTAGCATCTTTTTAGCAATCTGACTAAAAATAAAAAGAATTATGTCAAGTTTTTTAAATTTAAAATAAAAAAAGTAATTTACATGATAATATTTATTTGATAGTGTTGTATAGATTTTGGTGTTTTCTCTATGAAAATATCTTACAAAAGAGGTTATAGCTAGAGAGTACATATATAAATTTTTTTGAGCCATTTTAATAGGACACAAGTTTGTACAGATTTGTTATTGGAATATACAGTAGCGTAGAAATATAACATAGATATTTAGATGATTAAATCACAAACTATGTATTCTAGCCTACTAATACAAATATATACAGGCTAATAACGTATTTAGAATAACTTAAGAGGATGTTATACAGCCAATTTTAGAGAGTAAAAACATGTCTTCTTAAAATGCATTTTACATACTAAGTACTGCATTTAGAGCAATAACACCCATTATAAAAATGAAAGAGAACAATATTTTAGAGATGATCTCATATTCGTTTTTGGATATATTGTATTAGTAAAGAGTTAAAATTGATTGAAGTTTAATAAAATAGTACATTTTCATATTCAATTATTAAGCTTAATATTAGGTTAATCCCAAAATGGATATGAGATTGTTTTTGAAATATTGTCCTCTTTCAATTTTATAATAGGTATTGAAGCTCTAAATTTAATACAGAGTAAGTAAAATGCATTCTTTTAAGATATATTTTAGACCACTTTTGTAGATTTTTTTTCACCTAGTGCTGCCCCTATCGATTATATTTTAAAAATATTGACTGATGATGGTGTGGCGTGCGGTGTGACTCAATATGTCGCCAAAAATGTTATAAATATTTCTTAAAATAATTTCAAAATATCACAAATTGTATCTAGTCGAATGCATTACCCTCAAAATTGAAAAAAATTTCCCTCATTCTGCGTAAATAGGAGAAACCTCCAAAAAATTTATTAATTTAAAAATCGGTAATTTTCGACATTTTTTAAATTTTTTTACTTAAAACTGTCATAACTTTTGGAAAATAAATAAATAGAAACAATTTTTTTTTAAATCTAACCCTTTACCTGCCCACAGGGGGAATTCAAAATGACAACTTTTTCACAAAAAAATTACTTTTTCAACTTAACTTATGAAAGTGTTCCAGAAAATACTGACATTTTATATATATATTAAATTAAAGCTAATGTAATATACTTTATTATGAAAAAAAAAATTTTCGGACTTTATTTAGTTTTCATGGTTAAAACAGACATCAAAGTTAATAAAAAAAAATACGATTTTTATAAAAAATTCTTGAAAATTTTTTTTAAATATATTTATAAGCTCTTTAAATACAACAAATAAATAAATAATAACATGAAAAAAAATATATGAATCTTACCAAAAAGTTTTTGTAACCAAAGTTCTAGAATCAGGAATATGAGGTACTATAATTTTTAAATCATTCCATTCTTCTTCTAATATATTTTTTTGTGCTCTACAGTGCTCCATCATAACTACCCACTCTTCCATATACCTTAAATACACTTCTAAAACATTTTTGGAACATTTATCAAAATGTAAAATACGTTCTTCAAATATTTTCATATCTTTGTCTTTATCAGACCACAAAGTCGACTGTATATGACGAACAAAGCGTCTTCGATGAACAACAGCTAATAATAAGCCCTCCTTCAACTCACATGTCAACTGAAAATGTACAAATAAGTAAATTTTCTAATATATTAGAATATATAAACTATGTAAATTAAACCTTAGTAATTTACTTGTCTTATACTCATTATTGAAGGTTTTTCAGGCCTTGTATCTAATCTCATTCTAAGATATGTATGTATTAAATCTAATGGAATACGTGATAGAAAAATAAAAGCTGCTCTATATGATGGCAAATTTAAAGCTTTTGATTCTTTACACCAATAACTGTAGCGTAATAGTTCTTCATCATTGGTCACAGATTCTTCTCTAACATCATCTTCCTGTATAGTAGAGTTAATGGATAGTATAGAGTTAATAATTATTAATTAAAAAAATTTTATTTATAAATTAATAAAGTAACTACCAGAGCAGTTTGATCTTTTAATGTCAAATGTGCTTTGCGTAAAACATTCTTATAGAGTTCATCAAGAAATTTCAATGCTTTTCTTAATCCTTTAGTTTTTAATACTCCAGTTATAAACTGTCTAAATAAATAAATTATTAAATTCATTTCAAAAATTAAAAATATTTTTATACTAACATAAATAAACTAATAATAAACATTAATAATAATAAAAATTATAAATTTACTTATTTCTCTATTTAAAATGAAAATTTTCATTGTAAAAAAAAAAAATGTTTAAATGCAATTACTCTTTTTTTTTACACAAAATATAAACCATTTTGAAGAAAAATCATAATTAAATAAATGTATATTTTTATCATTACAAAAATCATAATATAGCATATAACTAACATGATATACATTAAATTTACATTGAACAATTAAATAATATATAGAAAAGTCAATATTTATTGGCCATTTGGTAACATAAAGACTACTTAAATTATTAATATTTTAACGTTTTTTTATAAGTAAATGTTTAAAATTATTATTAGTGCTAAAGAAATACAGCCTAAATTCCCTTCTGACAACTAATATATATTTATATAGATATTAACAAGATGGGCTAATTGACCTAATTTTAATCATGTTTATCAATTAAGAAAAAGAATATTTTATAAATAATCTAAAGTACATAATTAAAAATAATAAATCATCTCACAAAGCTCTTAAAATAATTGATCACCCAACACATTAATTTTTCCAGCAAAATCTGCCATTACCCAATATTAAAAGCACATAGTCAGAATTTTTGTCTTCCTTTCTTTTTCAAAAAAGAAACTGTTGGTTGGAAAAGATTATAGAGGATGATAATTCTAAAAGATTCTTTTAAATGAGTAATTTTCACCTACAATAAACAGGAAGAACTAAGTCCTGACTACATGCTTGCAATAGCAATTAACAAAACTATAATTATACTATTTTTAAAAAAAAAAAGATCAATTTTTTTATTTGACATATTTTTAATTTGTTATTATATCGTTATTGTTAATCAAATATTAGAATTTTAATAATCAAATAAAATTTATTTTATGTTAATATTTTTAAATTTTGAAGTATGAGTGCTTAATAAAAGTTCTAAATCTTAATTTTACTTAAATACTGAATACAGGTGATTATTAAATTATGACTCACTCAATTACATTAAAAGAGTAAAACAGAATATAAATTATTCTTGAGAGAAGTTAATAGTGTCCTACTATTTATAATTTAAAAATAAAATGGTCTTATTCCCCTCCACTCGCCTTAGTATAGAAGTATTTTCATAGTTAGATCATTTTTTTAAGCTAATTTAACATATATGTCCATTAACAAAACAAAAATTTATACAATTATAACTGAAAAGGAGAGATAGGACTAATTTTTTTGAAAATTATAGAACATAAGATATTATTAACTTCTGAAAGAAAAAATTGTATTATATTTTACATTTTTAAAAGTTATTTTGTGAATTATAGTTAATCAATTGACCTGTATATTATCTTTATGAAAAGTAATTTGTAAAATTTAATCTCTACTAGACATTATTGATATTAATATTAATATTTTTTAAGTTAATTTTTGTTAGAGGCATTAGCAAAATACCTATAAGTTAATGATGCATCACCAGTGTTGGAGTAAGGAACCATAGATTGAGGAAAGAAATGTTGCCTCAAAATGGCTATAGGTTGTGTATTATATAAATCAAGATCTTTATATGATATAGGTTCACGATAATTAGCACTGGATTGTTTAAATTTAAACTCAGGTTTATCTAAACAAGAAAAATGATTATGACATTTAATTAATGATAAATATCCTACAGTTACCTGACACACTGGTTCCAGGTGATGGTGTCAAAGAACCTTTTCCACTGTCATTAGATGTACTATAAATAAAATTAATAAAAAAAATTTACTAATTGAATTTTTTTTTAATTTCTGTTATAACATAATACTACCTTGGAGAATTATTACTATTTACACATGATGATGGTTCTAAATCTTCTACTTCTTTCATTAAATGTCTGCCAAGAATTAACAACATTAATCGTTGCCTTTTTGTTATATTATACCAAACACACATTGCCTAAAATATAATATATTACAGTTAAAAATTCAAATTCAAAAACTATAGAATAATAAATAATTTGATTACACTACCTCAACACGATTAGTAAATTCCGAACTCTTATAAAGAGGATATTGAGCTGCAAATGCTCTACTAGACGGAAATAATGATTCAGCATATTCTAAACGTTCCATAAGATGCTCTACTTTACGTAATGCCGAGTTTTGTTGTTCAATACAACGACAACAGAACAGTTTTAAGCAACCACATCGATTCCAACATTGGACTGTTTCTTCATCTAAAAAAAAATTAACTTAAATATTTTGTATAGATTACTAATTTTTAATTTAAAGTTTCTATGAACTCTGTTTTTTTTTATTTAGAGTTTTATAGTAAAAGTTTTGAGAATGTAAAAGTATTTTCATTATATTTTAATACTTTTCATAACTATTAAAATCCAAGTGATCTATAAAGTCAATGAAAAATGAACACAATTAAAGATAGACTTTGATGAATAGACTTTTTAGAGATGATTAAAGGTGTTAAATTGTTGTATTACTATTTTAGATATACCATTTATACAGAATTTTTTATTTATAAGTTATCCGTAATTTATAGGATTAGGAATTTATTTTTATTTTAATATATTTAAAGACAAATTAAAATTATAACCTTACATAATTTTGTAATAACACATTTATATAAATATATATATAATATATAAAATAAATAGTATAATTTTTTTTTATGTCATTACATAATAATAATTAGAAGCATTAATACATTAATTTGAAATAATTATTTATCAAGAAATAGATGTGTTTATTTTAAGTTTTAATGAATACAATTTATTTTTAATAATAAAGAATTGTTTAACTCAAAAACTAATAAAATAAAATATATTTTTTTAATAAAATACCTTAACAAACTGTATTAACTATATTTTATCAGAATATATAACTTAATAGTTTAAACTTCAAAAATAAAAAAATTAATGATAACATAATATAAATCATCATACCTAAATTGTTTATATTAGCTTCGGTTGTAGAAGAATCGTAAGGAGACATCTGATTAAATCTATAACTACAATATAAAAAAATAATATTTGTTATTTATTTCATATAGTACAGGATATTATAAAACCATTCGCTACCTAAAATTAATAATTTCATCAAGTAAGTCAACAATTTTTTTTCTTTCTTCACAAAGATATTTGTCTTGACTAGTAATACTTCTATCAGTTATTCTAGCACGTAACTCTAACCATATTAAATCTTTCAACTCACTCTGCCACAATTCTTCTTCATGACTTAACTAAAAATAATTTTAAATTATATATCAGTCAAGATCATTTTTGTTTAATATATATGTATATGAATGAATGTATGTATTTTTATACCTGTCGATTAAGTTCATAAGTTCCAGTTGATTTCTCACAATTAGCTAAACGTTTCAATTTATCATAAAATGCTACTCTGTTTACATCTTCACATTTGGCTTGTTTATCAGAAATAAACTTTCTACATACTACTAGTTTGGAACCAACACTCCAAAATCGATTATTTGTTTCAATCTAATATAATTTTTACATTGATTAATAATTAATACACACACACAATTTTATCAATTTTTAAAGATTATTAAAATTTATAAAAATTATTATAAGAATAACGAGTTATAAACTTAAAATGTTAAATCAAACCTTAATTTTGCCAAGTGGTACTTCATCATTTTCATGACATTTTTTTTGGTCATCAACAAGGGACTTTTCAAACGAGGAAAGTTCATTTGGACTATAAATTGCCATGTTATTGTTGTTTAATTCGAATTTTTTGCTCACATTAAAACGATTTTTCTGACAAAAAAATGAAAGAATCATGCTTACAACTAATAATAATTATTTATTTCACTAGCATGTTATGATTATACTAAAATGATGTATCATTTTCCCGTATATGAATTCGAAAATCTAATCTTCTTAATATCTACTTACTTATCAAAGGCTATAGAAAACTGGTTTCTCATAGTCAATGCATTTTTAAGCAATAGTATATAGTCAGATACAGCTGAGATTGACTATATAAATAAGAACAAAGTTCATCAATATTATCAACACTACCAAAATATGCCGATAATAATAAAATATGTTGAAAAATGAACCATGTACAAAACAAATTATTTTTCTTATCTTCTTCCTCTACTCATACGTATATTAAATGACTTCTTAACACTTCGTAACTAAAATCAACAAATGTAACTCATTGATGAGATTTCAAGTTTCTGATATGTATTATGTCATATTATATGTTCACTGTGAATTAATAAAATAATTTCATTATCAACACAATTTAACAACAATAACCTAAATTTTCTTATATTGAATATATTTAAACAACATAAATGTGGAATATAAACCTGTTGCTATATCAGATGATTAGTAGTAGTTAGGTTTTTTCTTATTTTAATTATACAATGATTACTTCAATATAGGTTAGGTTCAAATTTTTTTTAATTCTTATCATTATTAGGTGATCCATAATTGCCGGTTTTTTGTAGTAAATTTTAGTAATATAAGTTATGTTTCATTTTTTTGTTCAATTAACCCGCTTTATTTTAACAAAATGAATAATATATTAAATAACAATATGATGTACAAAAACGATACATTGAAAAGTGTAATTAATAAACTCGTATGATCTATACACATTGTTAAATTATCAGTCTGCATTTTGTACCAATTACTTAAATACTGTTCCAGATTTTATGCCCCTAATATTTTAAATTATTAAGTGCACACTCAAAGTGCATACACATGTAATGAGTTTAAAGCTTATTAAAGCTTAGATACATATAACTTTTTTGTAAGTATATGGGTGTTAAAACCAAAATGGATTGTTTTAAAAAAACACATATTAGCAATTGCTGAAGTAAATTATAAAAATAAAGAAAGACAATTTAAGACCCAAAATGAAAGTATGTTTATTTTAAAATCATTACAAACAGATACTAGACATTTATCAAATAGTATAAATTTGAAAATTTGTATTCAGATTATGAAATAGGTCCACATTGTTGTATCTGTGGATTGCTTTTATTTATTATTTAATAAAGAATACATTATACATTTACACTATTTTACTTTATTTTGTATAATAACATTATAAACTTTAACAGTCTTATATAATAATAATTTGAATAACATATTTACATGTGAGCATAGTCACACACTTGATAACATTAACAGTGCATGCATGAGCATTGAAAATTCAACTCATCCATCCATACAAGTGTCAAATAACGAGCAATTAAATATTATAACTTTAACGTTAGGTTTTCTTTTTTATATTAAAATTATCTCGGTATAACAAAACATTATTCTTTTATTTTATTCGTTGAACATTAATTGTTGCTAGTTAGGACTGTGGGAAAACGAATCTGATATACTTTTTGCTAGTCGCTGAAAATGGAATACGGTTTGAAAATATTTATTTGTACTTCAAGACTACGGTTTAACACAAATACCAGCTTTTGAAATACATCATAGACGAAATCGATGGAGTCAATATGTTTACGTTTTTCGAATACAATGAAGTCGTCGAGTCCAAGACTGTTCTTCCGAATTTGATTTTTATAATCAAATATTGTGATCAGTGATCGGTGATAATGTGATCGGTGACATACCAGGGATTTAAACGCGAATATTTTTCTAGAAGACGATACAACAACGTAGATATATTCTATTTAGCTAAGTGTTATGAAAAAATACTTATACTAGCCAGAAATCCTAATTCTAAGAATATGGTCACGCAGTTCTGTAAACAAAACAAAAATATAGACGGGTATTATCATTTGATTTGGTTGAAATAATTTTTATTAAAAATCTTTAAACAGAATTTGAACAGATCAAACATGTTCAGACATATATTGCATCTGCAAACCGTTAAGACCTATAGAATGGATAGATTCCAGGAAAATAGGTACGCAGCTCGGTAAACATTGGTACCTCACACTTGGCTTAAGAATTAACAATGTGTCGATCGAGAGCAGTTTATTCTTTTTTTTTTTATTAATCTATAGCAAAATCTAATTCATTGACATTAAAATACTGCGTTGTAATGGTCGTCTTTATACAGTTTTTTTTAGTAAGGTATTCGTAGCAATAAAAACAATAATATTACGCAGTTTGTTATAAGAGCATAATGGTGGGATCGTTTTAGGAATAGTCAAGAACATTCTGAACGGCGGTGGTCATTACTTAACTTAAAAGTACTACGCATTACATACATATTTTTTTATATAAACACACATAAGATGATTATAGTGGGGTCGTTCTAGACATAGTCAAGGTAATTAAACCACCGGAGCCGGGGGTATGATTGAACTCTAAAGGGCTACCAAACGTCGGCACGAGTGCAGATCCCTTGCTCGAGGAATCGGGTACATCCTTAGTTTGTGGATCGAGCAACAGCCTACAAATATTCAGATTAACCACAAAATAAGCAGCTTCGGCTGACGAATAAACAAACGCAAACAGCGACCCTCGTTAATCCTAAAGATATGCAGAGTAGCCACGATAGAAACCATTCATCCAAGTGATCGAATAAGCTTTAAGGTTTCAATAGTTAACTTATAATCGGACTTCGTTCCTTTCTAAATTTACTAAGATCCCCTGTCGGTAAGGTTAAAACGCAATGGCTAGAATTCGCCTTAAAGAAATCAGCATGAAGAGTTTTGTAGTTGTGTCGAAAGTTATGGTTCCAAAAGTTTTAGGTACTCCGCGACCGTTTGGAAAGAGTTCTATTGCAGGATTGACCCGGTTGTCATCTAGTGACAGCACCAAAACCATTGGACTGATGAGGCAGAATACAGAGAGCGTTCGCGCCCACACTACTACAGAGGGTCCTGATACCGCTTGGGACTTAGCCGACAAAGGATTAGGATTGAGTAGTGAAAGCCATCTAGTCAAAAAAGTCAATGAGACCATGGATCCTGGTATCCATGTGCAGATGTCAATTGCTGGAATGGATCCAGTTGACTCTCTTATTGAGTGGTTGATGAAGGCGGGAAAACTAAAGGAAAGCCCCCGAGATTGACCACTAGTAAGAAGTGTGTGACACCCCTTTCATTAATGAGTAGTTACCCAATCACCCGGGAGCTTAGAGGGAACAGAGAATATAGAAGCCTCCAAGAAGAGCAAACTACGGGAAGACGAGTTCTTCCCGTCTAAAAGGAAGTAGACCTCCTTAGTCCCTGAAATCGAGTTCATAACCTTGGAAGATGACGCACCACTGGAGAAGCCGGTGCTCATGTCAAAGACTCCACGGCCATCCAAGGTCAAGAAATTAAAGCTAATGAATTACTCGACGACCGTTCTCTTCAATATGTACGGTGTACGCAGGAGAACCCTTCCATCAAGCGAGGTGTTCCATAGTGATCACATCACTTGGTTTGCGATTAGCTGAGTAAGCTGAGGCATTGGAAAAGGTGATAGGCATCGCGCCACCCGACCAACGTGTACTAAACGCGGCGATGGCGTTTGTGGAGAGTGTATGAGCTATCGTCACTTTCCAGCTCGCACGTATGCTTGACGAGTAATTCCAGAGTGCCCAGTAAAGGTCGATGGGTACACGCAGACGAACCACCTACAAGATAATCATAGTGCTCCCGAGTGGCCGCAAGTGTCAAGAGGTCCCCTGGCGGGGAAGTGAAAGAGATGGAGGTTAGGCACGTGCCGGCTATGCTATCGTCCCTTAGTGAAGAAAAAAATGAAAAACAGGATTAAGAAAAATAAATTTATATTGGAGAGCTCTGACGCACCAGTAGAGGGGTCTCCTAGTAGCTAACCCCCTGGGAAAGCCAACTGCGAGATAAGCAGTGGAAGAAATTATCCAAAGGGTGGTAATAGCTTACAACTTTGACACTTTCGGCCAAACATCTGTTGTTTATCGAAGACTTTCAGTTCACTAGTGGAACAAGGAAGTGGTGACTCAATAGGAAGAATGCGTCAGAGCTAGAAGGTTGCTAAAACGATTGAACCGCCGACTAAGGGACCCCGAGATTCGAGGGAGACGCTCAGGAATGCCCACAGGTGGTTGAAGCTAGCAGAGTTTTGAAGTGCCGTTGAACTTGAACATCCGAAACGTGTTTAACTCCGTGCGATGGTCACCCATCCTCGGAATGCTGGACATGTTTCGGTTGCCTCCGTACTTCAGTAAGATGAATCGTTTGTATTTCAGCGACCATCGCTTACGAGAATACCGTGAATCCCGAGAACCAAACATGTTATGGTTGGCGTCTCGCAAAGATTGGTGCTTTGGCTCCAACTATTGATTATCGCGTATAACGTGGTGTTCCACGTTAATTAATTAAAGTTTGAACACATTCTAGCCCACTGAATTACTTTGTATAACTATTATTGTTGCGATTTCAGTTTGTTCCGATGTCACAGATTCCTTGGGTTAGTTTTACCGTGTGTGAGTTGCCGGTGAGCGGTATCGAGTCGTCTGTTGTACTATTATTTAATGTAATTAAACTGAAGTGTAGTTGTTTAATTCTTAAACTTAGCGAGAAGGTTTTAAGAAATAAATTCAGTACTTAATACTTATTATTGGTTTATTGTAATTAACATAGCTGAATCGTAAGTAATCGCGATAAAAGTCAATACACTTAATAATACGACGACGGAACTACGACTACTTTATTATTAAAAATATTTAACCAGAATATGCACAAGTCCTGTGATCAGCAATAGTTCATAACATTATTAATACAAAACTTTATTTAACAAGATAGTAAATTTGAAAAAGTTATTGTTATATTTTTAATTATACTGCATTTATTTAAATAAATTTCAGTTAATACTTAAGAATTAAATTTGTTGATTACTTTGCAACAGTCTCCGAATATATAACGAGAAAAACAAAAAACCTGCGATTATTATGCTTTAGTCCTGGGCCTCAACAAAGGGGTTTCGATAAACTTACAGCTCTGCGACCTGGTTTCTTAGAGGTAGGTTAGAATCATGTTTTTATGACTTTTGATGCTAATAATTGTGTATAGTTTGAACATTCATAAAGATCGTGCTTTAATCTGGTACTTGGGCTCAAAAGTTTATACAGGGACCTGCTTATAACAAATACGGGTTATTTTCTTTGAGTTAATTTCTTAAATTGAAAAAAGAAATAATAACATTTAACCTTGTAAAGCATAACATAGTACTAATATAACCACAAACAATTATTTAACAAATGTTTGATTTTCTAAATTTACCAACGAAATAAACTCACAAGATGTAATGTACTATTAATAATATTATATTATATAATATTTTATTAATCATGAATAGTTGATCTAGGGTAAACAAATACACTCGATTCTATTACATATTACTATAGATTAAATACTTGTATTTAATATATAAATATAAAATATATGTATTTTATCTATGATATTACTCATTCATTGTGATAAGATATAATACTGATAACTGATAAGCTAATATTTGACGGCTGTTCGCTGTGGAATACTTAAATGACCCTCGATATAAATATTTTCATTATAATAGACGATTTAATGTCAGTTAGGCATTTAAAGTAATTCCATAATAATTTTTCAGTATATTGTATTATTATATTCGTTTAAATTAATTTAGCTGTAAGTATCGTATGGTTTGAGTAAAATATTTTACATATTGTCCTTTAAATACTATCAATTAAACTTATTATTTTCAGTTGAAAATTTTTATTTTTTTGTATATTAAGATGGGTGGTTCGGCTAGTAAAACTAGAACATTAGAAATTGATAATCCTAATGTCATAAATTTATCCGATAAAGTTGTTGAAAGACTTCGAGGCCAAGCTGAAGTAGTGAACTCGGTAACCCATAACGTTCCAACTTATCATGTTAAACCTTCAACACTAGAAGTACAAAAATCAGTTCAAGAAGCTTTGGAAGAAAATGATAAAAGGTGGCAATGTCGTTTCCATCATGTGCAAGATGAACAAAATGCACTGAGTCGCAAAGTAGAAAACGAATATAAAAGAACTTATGCTTCTGTTAAACAACTTTTGCCTGATATTGGAAATGGAGAAATTAACCAATCTATTCAAGAAAAAGAAAAAAGCCTAATTTCATGTCTAGCTGAGAACAAAGGGTATCCACTAAATTGTAGTGAAATTGTTAAGGAGTATAAAAAGACTTTGTTTCAGTCTGTAAATAGTCAAAAACTTTAAATAGTTGTATTTTAGCTCTTAAAAATATTCAATGAAATGTGAAATGCTAATTGTATATTTGAATTATATGCTTTGAAAATGTATAAGTAGTATTATTTTGTTAAATAAGATGCTATTTTGTTAATCAATGCTACTAATGAAAATCTTTGAAAGTTTATTTTTATTATATAGATAATTTTACTAAAGTAATCTTTAGTAATTTATTTTTATTTACTTATTATTTAAAAGTAGCTTCATTGCCATAAAATGATAAATGACTAAATATTTAAAGGTTTAGTTAATAATTGTATCAAAATGTCAATTCTTTCTTCATTTGTTCTTTTTGCTCTATCTCCCAAAAATTTGCGAGGCTGGCTATTCCTATTTTCTGTTATTACTAGCGAGTTTCTTAACATCTAACTTGTAAAGAAGTATATGGCACATATGATAACCTTAAAACAACTAATGTGTTACATATAAGTAAGTCATTAATTTTGCTTAGTATTGTAACCTACTAATTTTTTGAAGAATTTAACTTCATCATTATCAACACCACATAGCCTCTATTTCAACTATTTGAAGTCAATGCTGCTTTAAATTTAACAGAATTTTATATCAGATGTCAACTTTATGATTTAATGCATAATAAGTTATTATAATTTTCATTAATTCTGAATTAATATTATTTATTCTTTTATATAAGAATAAGAAAAATATTTAATAATTAAGCCAGTATTTTTTTATTGTTATTTTTATCTTAACCTACTATTTATAAAATTAACTTGTATTAGCAAGTTTAAAGATGTATTACCTTGCCCAGCCCTATGTATTTTAATACGCATTTCTTTCTAAGGTATACGTTTATTAATGAAATCAATCATCACTAAATGATTATGTAGAATATAATTTAAATTAATAATTATTTTAAATATTTGACATTAAATTTTTACTCTTAGTTTCAGAGAATTTTAAATATTTAATTGAAATAACTAAAAAGCAGTCATTAAACTAGCAACACAAGATTTTAAGAAAAGGCTATAAATATCAATTAAAAAATAAAGATAATCATTAAACATATATTCTTTATTGATACATTTGAGCTTTTTAAAAAATAATGAATATTATTTCTTATCTTATTACATAATTTTTTTATTTTTACAATTCATTTTATTATAAAACTCTGTACATAGGAAATTTAACATCTCTAGTGTATAAATGAAATATATACAAACAAATACATATTACTATTGCATATAAGTATAAATAAAAACTAATAAATCTAGACGGAAGCCACAAAATAGAGTAGGTAACTGAATGTCTGAAGGTATCTAAAAAAAATTACAAAAATATGAACAATTTCTCAAAAATATTTATTATTAATTTTAAAAATATATAGAATGATTGTTTAACTATAACTCATACAAAATCTTTAAAAATGTTAAAATTTTTTTTCGTTTTCAAAATTTAGAGTATTTAAATAATACAATTTTCAAAAAAGAGTTTGTTCCTATTTACCTCATTATTCCTTAAAATTTTATTAATTTTAGTTTTTTAAATGGAAACATAGTTATGTGTCCATTTAAACAAGTTTTGTTTGCAAGTTTAACCAACTTACAAACAAAGCTGGGTACTGACTAGTTAGAAAGTTACAATTAAAGTAACTATTTTACTTAACTAGTTGAATGGAATGTGTAAAATTAGTATAAAATATTTGTTGAGCATAATATTGATGGTTACAAGGTAAATTGGACTACGCAACAAATTAACAAAAAATGGCCTGTATAAACTGAGGCATAAGCACCAATACTTTGATTTATTTTAACAAAACTAATATTATTACTTCAATTATAATTTGAACTCATAGAAAATTACTTAACTGTAAATATGATAACTAAATAAAAAAAAAACATCTCGTATCAGAAACTTCAAAAACGCTTAAAAAAAAGTTATAACCATTTAAAAGTAAAAACAATCAAAAAATATTTTTATTTCTACCGAAAACTCTGAAAAATAGTCCTTTTTGCCTTGTAACCACTGATATAAGCTATATTATATTATAATTTTTATAGCTATATAGGTAATATAATCTAATATATTTGAACAAACAAGTTTTTAAATTTATATTTGAAACTATTAAAAAAAAGTAATTTCTTACTATTACTCATATTTATGTTACTATTTTTAACAAACTAACTTCTAAAAAAACTCAATTAGAAATTTGAAACATTTCATAAACTACCTTCTATTCTAACATAGTTAGTAATTATATTAATGATCTTAATATAAACTAATTAAAAAAATAACTAATTTTCCTAGTTATTCTTATAAACTATAAAATTATTTATCTAAGGAAATTACTAGGTGATAACAACTATTGAAACAATATTTTGAAAGTTGTTAACTTTCAATTCACTTTACATAATTATTAACAAATAAAAACAGAATCCATATTTTCAAGTAAAATATAAAGCTCATTTCTTTAATAATTATACTTCGTTAAAATTTCAAATTTATAAATAATATTGCAAGTTAATTACCGATTGTTAGTACTCCATAACCAATGTTTTCTGTACCCATTCTATAAGAGCATGAGGGTACAATAATTTCATTGACAACATTTTTCGGAAGTTGACCAAATCTCCATTGAGCTTGAGACATATTATTAAAACTACTATGGTTTAATCTCTGCACAAATAAACGTTCTTTTGAGCTTGTGTTACTTATAATATTGAATGATGAATGGTCATGAGCTGAAAAGATGAATTCATTTTTAAACTCTTGTAAAACCTAAAAATGAAACATACATAATCCATCATTTTTATTTTAAATTTTATTATAAGACAAAACTTGTAGTACTTTATCTGTAAACTTAGTCCATTTGGTTGTTAATGGTACATGAGAAAATATTAATTTCATTGCTTTTGTATTATTTTTAAAATACATCTTATTTATAGGCATTGTTTCAATTATATTATTAACCTAAATCATACATAAATATTTTAGCAACACGTTGTATGAAGATCATAAGTGTTTTAATATTTACTACAATAAATTGAACATTATTCTTTTCTATAACTTCAGGAGACCCAAAATATGTATGAAATCTATCAACTTTTTCTCTAATAACTATTTCTCTTTCACCTCCTATGTCATTATCACCAGGAATAAAAATTACCTAAAATAAACCATTATATCAACAGGAATATTTATAAATCATATCAAATGTATAAACAAATAATATAAAAATTATAGGTAATATAATTACTACCAACATTTTGAGATGCAAGTGGAATGGTATTTTTCAAGAAGAAGATCTTACAAAATCTAAGCAGGTATTTTTCAAAACTTTGTTGATCTGCTAAGGATCCTTCATCCATCAAATCTCCCAGAAATACAATATTATCAGGTTTAGTATGTTGAAATGCTCGACCATAAGTGTTAAATAGATATCTATCATTATCCCAGCGCGCTAAAATGTTTTCATTTTCATTGCCTAATATTTGTGGATCAGCAACTAACATGACAGTTGTACAATAATTTTTATTCCCACAAAAAAATTTAGGCCAATTTGATGCATACAACGAATATATAATCCATTCGTTGTATAATATTGTAATAACCGTCAAAATTGTCAACAAATAATATACATACTCACTGTAAAATAAGTTTGATGTTTTTTTTAAATAAAAATAAATTAGGGATTGATCTATCAGCATATACATACTTAAATTTATGTAATAATACTGCGGAGATTGTCTTTAATCTCGTCAAGTATATAAAATGGCACATATTACTAATTTTTTTTTTACATGATTTAATAATTCGATATTTGTTGTATCATTTTTATAATAATTAACAATCAGTATCATTTATTGTACTTGTAAATACTTTAATTATATTATAATTAATTAATACGAAGATAATCTTTAAAATTTAATAATAATAAGGTAAAATTGTACTCTTATTGAGTGATAAGTCTTATATGATAATTTTGGTTTATCACAAGTTATCGCAATATTACACTCAGTGCTATCAGATTTTGAAGTCAAATCAGGGCCACTTTTAAGGGATAGTAAGGGCAATAATCCACCAAAATTTCTTAGGGGCGAATCTCAAAATTAAAGAACAAAACCTACAAATATTATTTATTTTTATTTACAACACACAGTCGATCAAAAAAATGTAATGTTATTGAAAATTAAGTAAATTTATAGGAAATAATGGGAAACAGTTACTGTAACAGTTAACAGTAACTGAGTGCATCATTTTACTTTAGAAAAATAAAAGTTATTCTAAAAAAAAAAAAAAAGTCAACTTAATATTTGCTTTACACTACTAAACTACCAAGAAATAAATTTTAATAATAACTTGGTCTGTAATCGTACGATTAGCAAAACTGAATATACATTTGAATAGCGACTATTTTATAGCTTTTATTGCACTCTATTGCTAAAAGCTCCAAGTAGTAACTAGCAAGATTATTTATTGATGGCATGAGGGTCCGCAAGAGAGCAAAAAACAAATTTGCCCTCATTGAAATTTTGCTTGGATGATTTTCATAATTGTTGCGTATTATAAAATTATACAAAATAAATAAAATCATTATTTTAATTAAAAGAAAAAATTGTATTATTATTAAATTATATTATTTATGCCAGGATTAATGATATTGTTTTATAGAATAATGATATGTAGATATGGTTTTATTCATTAAATATTTTAAACATTTAAAAAATATTAAAATATTTCAAATAAAATGTATTTTTAAAACGATTTCAAAATATTTTTAAAATTTATCAAAATTGAATATTTTTTTGTGAAGCCCATAGACGCCTATAAGAATATAATTTTTGAGGATTTTTATTGTATTTTCTTCCTACCCTAAAAACACTATATTATTTTTCAGGGCAGGATGAAAATACACATGTATATGCGTTATACATAATTTTTTTAATTTTTGGGAAGTTGATTCGTTAACTGATGGGGCTAAGCTCCTTCTAGTTGTGCTTATGGCGGGCCTCTGAAAAAACGTGGTTTCCAGACCGAGGACCCGTTCATCCCTTTCAACGGAGAATCTGCAAAGAGAATAATGAAATCAAATATTTAAAAAACATTTTGGCCTCCTGGGAAAATTACTGAGGATGCCATTGATAGAGGAATGCATGTTATTATATTTTGTATTAGTTTTACACAAGATATTTTGAATATATAATAATCTGTTTAGATTTTTTTGAGAAATTATAACAAAAAAAATGTTAAAACAAATATTTATTCAATTAAAGCACTTTTTTTTATTCATAACGATTACTATTAATCAAAGCTTTTCTTTTTATAAAACCATAATTTTTTTTTTAATAATAAATTATTTTAAAGTAAAAGAATATTGTAATTTTTTAAAATTAACATGAATAAAAAGTGTACTCCAAAAAAAACATTGTTATTTAATTTTAATTTAATAATATTTAAATATTTGTTTTGGTTAAGATGGCTACACTGTAAGAAAACCGATATTTTACCACCGGCGTCCGTCAGAAAACCACTTGGCACTCAATACCAACAGCCACAACAAAAACTGAAATTGATCCCCGGCAGTTTGGTTGTTGGACTCAAAATTATTATTCTACGTAGAAGAGTTTGTTTGGTTATCCATTGAACGTTTTCTCGTATGCTACTTAGTAACTGTATAAATATTATTATTCAAATACTTTTTCACAATGTTTTTTAAATAATTGATAGTAAATTATACGTACGTAACTTTTTCGATTAATATTTAGTTTAATTTTGAAGTCGTTTATTATTCATAAAATATCAATAACATGCAGTATATAAGATATACGAGAAATCTGTTCCTCAGAGGCATAGCAGTTGTTAATTTGTTAGCGTTTATATCACTTTATATTCAGAAACCAGGTAAGATTTCCAATTTGACTACTAAATAGAGATTTAAACGTGGCTTAGACATACATTAGGTAAATTTTAGTCGTACTTTTATCTTGGTTAAATTTTTAATTATACATTGCTATTCTTATTTCGTATCGTTTTAATATTCTATTATTGGATAGCTTTTTGTAACTAACATGTATTTTCTTATGATTAATGGCATCTTATTGATAGTGAATATTTTTTTAATTTATATAATCTCGAAAAATATAAGATAATTCCTAGATTTTTATTATTATCAAGGTTAGCATGAATTTTTAAATCTGAAGAAGTAATAGAATCAATAATTTCTGATAATTATACCAATTTATTTTTATCTTCAAATATTTTATGTATAAAGCATTAATTAAATACATTTTTTTAAATTTTGAGGTTTGTTTTCTATGCACTTTATAGTTATCTGAGGTAGTAAAAATATGTGTTTTTTTGTGTATGTAATTGTGATTTGATTATACAGCCTAGCATATCAGTTAGTTTTGTGTTAGTGTTGGGTACATTTTTCCTTGGTGTCTTGGAATTTCCCTTGTATTATGATATGATTAGGAATGTTTTTTGATGTATTATTAGTATAGACTATACTAAAATAATAAGAGGAAGCATAATGTGTTTCTGTCATTAAGGATAAAGAAGTATTATTTGTTGAACTCAAGTATAGTATGGATAACAAAAGAGAGTTGTTTAATAAACAGTGTTGTTACCTATTCCTTTTTAAAAGGGAAAATAAAATAATTTTATATTAGTTAAAAATACTGTAAAATACAATAGTTTTAACTAATTTTACGAGATTTTTTTGTTGTTGAAACAAACAAAATTATTATAAAAAGGTCTTTTACTTTTTATAAAATTTTATAGTTTTGATAATTTGGAAAAACAGCTCCAATTACATCTGTTATTAAAAAAATTCTTGTGTTTATTTATAACTTCTCTGAGATGTATTTAATACATTTTTTTTAGTTAACTAAAATTACTAATAAGTAATTAATAAAAATGCTTAAAATGTTTTATTATTTATTAATTTTTTACTTCAAAAAACCAAATTATTGAGTTCAATTTGATACAAATTTATAAAAAAAAATTTGTAAAATAATGTATCATTGAGAGTTAAATGAAAATTGTTGATTGTTCTTCATATTATTTTTCTTATTAGAAATCAATAATCATTTATTTTTTAAAAATTTAAATATTTACTAAGAATTTTAGTTTTTATGTATTTTTAGAAAAAAAATTTATAGTTAAAATTCTTTTAAGGTTTATATGGAGATAATGGTATTTTTCCTGTGAAAAATGCTTTAACTAATGAAAGTCCGAAGTTGTTGGACAAATTTAACTCAAAGCCTACATTACTTTGGTTTTCGTCAGAAATTGGACTGAATACAGATTATATGTTTGATTTAATAACTTTAGTTGGAATTATATTTTCTTTCCTTGGGTAAGTTTAAAATTTTAAAATTAAAGTAATGCATTATTTTATTTTTTCATCTTACTTCAATTTAACTAATTTTGAATTAGTATACCATAGTTTTTATTAATGCAATGCTAAATAAATATATTAGAATTATGTAAGATTTGGCAATAACAAATGTAGTAATTTTTGTATAAGTAATTTGGATTATTTTTTTGTCTAAATTCAAAAATATTATATCATTAATAATGTAAGCTTTATAAATTTTAGCGACCTAATATTTACTAGTTATACAAACTTATCTTAAATAAAATGATAAAATTTAAAGCACTTCTATTTGCAAAGAGTTTATGAAGATTTATGTTCTAATAAATTATCTCAACTTAAATTAATTGTATGATAAATAATATATTACATAAAAATGAAATAAAAAAGTAAATATTGTTCAAGTGTATAGTTGTAAATAGACTTAAATAATTCATAAATTATTAAACTTTAAAAATTTTATTAACACATTAAAATAATAGAAATTTATTTATTTATTTTTTATAATTGGGTAGACTTGAATCAAATCTTACAAGTGATTATCTGTAATTCTCCAAAAAAAACCAAAAAGGAAATTATTTTGGTAAACCCTCTTTAAAGATTTTTAAAGTTTTTTGGAAGATTACAGTTGATTACATGTATGTTTTGACATTTAATATTTACCTACTCATTTATAAGATGTATCATATATTTTTATTTTAATTCACTAAATTCTATTACATATCCTTATAGATTTGTGTCACAGAAAGCATGTAACAAATTTGTATTTTTCATCCTATGGATCTCATATTTGTCTTTATACAATGTTGGCCAAATCTTTATGTCTCATTTAGTGTAAGTAATTATTTATTTTGCATAATAATAATTGATATCATGTATCTAATATTATTTAATATTAAAGAAATATTTACAATATTAATTAAAAAATACAAATATTTAAATCTCAGTTTAGTATTTCAGAAACAGTGTTACCATTATCAATGCTATACTCATAATCTGTCCACAATTTTTTAGTAATTTTTTTGGCATTTTGTGTTAAAAATTGTTTATATTTTTTGGTTTTAAATTGATATTTTAAATACATTTGTTTTGCCTTATACAAAAGTATTTAAGTTACTGTAAAAATCTAATTATGCAATTTTTGTTATTAGTGATGAAATTCTTTTAGAAGTTGGTTTATTATCTATACTGGTAGCTCCATTTTTTCATCCTAGCCGTAAGCCTGTATCAAAAAAACGCAATTTACGTTCACAAACATCTTTAGCATCATCACCATATGATGCTATTTCATTCTGGCTTGTTAGATGGTTACTATTTAGAGTATCATATTCTGCTGGTATAACAAAAATGAGTTCAAAATCTCTAGTTTGGTATGACTTAACAGGTAAACAAAAAAATGTATAATAAACACCTAAGGTTATAAAAATTTATTTGTTTTACATAATTATTACAGCTATGTCAAAATTTTTTGAAATTATGCCTCTACCTAGCTATATTTCATGTTATGTTTACAATTTTCCATTGTGGGTATTGAAATCTTTAACAGTATTAGCTGAAGTCAATGAAATATTTTTACCTTTGTTGTTTTTGATACCTATAGGATCGGTTAAAAAATTGGCATTCTACATTCAAGTAATAATCATCCAGAACTTGCACTTTAAATAATATTTTAAATTACTTATTGAATTTTTATTTATTTATGCATAGATGACAGTTCAGTTTCTGATTTTTGCTACAGGAAATTTCGGTTATTACAATCTTTTGTATATTGTACTCTGTTTATCTTTGTTAGATGACCATACTTTTTATAAAGGTAAAACAAATCTAAAATACTGTTGTTGTAAACTAATGAAAATTTTATTTTAGAACTAGCTTTAACTAAAAGTAGACAATGGTGTTCTTCAATATTTACTAGATTAATGACCCTCAATGCAGTTGTACTTTTAGTAGCTATTATTGCAATGTTGTATAATTTCAGAATTACTCCTGGAAATACACCTGATTTCAAAATAGGTATTTACTTAAAATATTTACTTAAAATTATTTTCAATTTACTCACTGAAATTTATCGTATTTTCAGCGTTTACTCCTAATCAATTTAATAGTGTATTGCAGAAAAGTCTCCCTATAATAGGATATTTTGCATTAGCTTCATTCGGCTTAGAATGTTTAAAATCAATCTATGCATCTCTACCTACAAAGTCTAAAACTGGTGGATCATTATCAGCATTAATATCAGCTACATTTTATGTTGCAATATGTTTAGGTTTGTTTTCCTTGAGCTCCGTTAATTTCTCAGCTCTTCACCCATCTGTCAACAATACTATTCCAAGGGATTTAAAATTGTTTTATAATAAATTATCTCCTTACAAACTGAGCAATTCTTATATACCTCCTAAAGAATTATTAAATTTTGAGTCTCGTAAAGAAATAGTATTAGAAGGAGCCAGTGATCTCAAAGGACCATGGTATGAGTATCAATTTGTTTATAAGCCTAGTAGTGTCAATGTAACACCACCTATTATAGGTATTTATTCCTGTTTTTATTGAAAGAAAAATTGTTTTTATTACTATTTTATTAATTTTTTAGCTCCATATAGACCAATGATTGATGAAGAATTCTTCTATGCTGCTTATACACCATCAGTTCAAAATCCTTGGCTATTTAGTGTTATATATCGTCTGCTAAATAACCAAAAAGAAGTTTGCAACTTAATTAATCCTAATCAAATAAATTTTGTAAAATCCCCACCAAAGTTTATTAAGGCATCATTGTATAACTATAAATATGCATCAAATGTTCAAAGGTAAAAACCTTAAAAATGGTTAATTGTTCTTTTTTTATATTTAATTTGTATATTTTTTTTCATTTAATATTTGTTATTATTTTTTGACTATTCTATTAAAAAACTGTGAATCTTTTTAACAGAAAGTAATTTTGTTTGCATTATTTTTTAGCTATTCACAATAAATTAAGTGTAATCATTTGTATATATATCAATAAGTAATAAATTTCAGTTAAATATATTTTTATTAATAGAAATAGAGGTGTATGGTGGACAAGACAATTGGTTTCGGATTATATTGCACCACTGGATAAAAATAGTCAAGTACTTTTGGACACTTTAAAATCCCACAAGATATTGTTGAATAGAACGTCTAAAGCTGTGAATCCACTTTGGAAACGTAAGAAAAAACAATATTTCTTTTATCAAAATTTTAAAAAATACTATTATTTGTTATTTTTTTATTCTTATATTGAATAATATAAGTATTTACTAATATTAATTCATTTTTTTTTTCACTAAATCTTTATATGTTATCAAAGTTAAATTAATTTTATTTTTACAGAAATTCTTGATCAATTGCGATTGCTTCAACTTGCCATAGCAGATCCACGAATTTTAATTTCTGCATTTTTAATTGCTGGTCTAATTATTATCATAATACCTGGCGGAGGTTCCGCTTAAATAAAATATTTTGTGTTATGGATTAGACTTGAATTTTTAAAATTTTTAGTTTTTCATAGAATTATCTGTTACCTTGAAAATGAAAAGATCTGTACCAACAGCTAAAGTATTAAATTATTATATTTTATTCATTTTGTATGTATTGTATATACACTTTTTTATATTATGTTTACTTTGTTTTACATTTTTTGAATTATTTATTTCTACAGTATAAAAAAAATACATTTATGATAAATAGCAAATTATAGTTAACATTTAATGTACGACATATTTAAAAAAGTACGAAGTAAATGGAGTTATTTTTAATTACTTTTGGCAAATATATGTGTAATTAATGTGTGAACCATTTTTACATTTTGTATAGTATAAATGGATAATTTGAATTATAACTTATTTGTGTAGTTTACAGTGTGTATTTAAACATTTTAAATAAACAAACATTTATTTATTTTTAAGATTTAAATTATTTGTTTATGATCCTGTTTGCTCTGATTAAAATTTCCTATGTCTTTCTAAAGACTTGCGATCTATCAATTATATTTTATTGTAATTTTTGCTATTCTTAAAATAAGAAGAGCTAGAGAATGTCTAATAGTAATTGGACACGATAGAGCTTAAGGCTGTTAAAGAAGTATTAGTAAAATTTCAATATCTATTTTATTTCTTAAAATTTGTCAATTGCGTACAGGTAATATTAAGATTAATGCCATCAATATTATTTTTCGTCTGATAAAATGTGACTTGATTTAGTAAACTCAATCGAGACAAGCGCTTAAAAAAGACGTGACGTCATAGTTTCAGTGTAGACGAATTTTAATAATTGTTGAGATTGAATAATTAAGACAATTCTACGATATATCGAATCAAAATATAAGAAATAAAAATTATTTACATCATGATTTCAATTATTTAATATTTTCATAGTCGATCAATCTTATAAGAAAAAACCCAGTAAAGTCAGGGGATCTGATAAATTAGAAACCTAGTTTAAAATGAAATCTAACAGTGATCATTTTCTACTATTAAAAGCATCAATTCGGTTGTTTATATAAATAATATTATATTTTAATATATTAACTATTATATAACGAAAATGAGACACCAAATAAAATTGTATTACCTTAAGTATTTTGTACCAACTAATTACAATCAAAAAGGTCTTTAATCGTATTGGCGGACGTGGTACGTAATAATTAATTGTTCAAAACGCTCAAGATGTAACAGAAAATTCTTGGACGTTTTGTTGTGTCTACCAAAAACATTTTTAATTTTTTACCACCGCAGTAGATAATTGTATATTTCGTTATCTCTATGCCAAATGTGTATCATAATTGTAAGTATGGATTTATATAAAAAATTGAAAGAATGTTTTATATTTCATCCTCGTTTGTTAATTAAAATTTCAATTATTGTATGAAATTAAAATTGTAATTTATCATAATACATTGGTAGCTAGAACATTTTTTTGTAAAGGGCAATCCATTTCCTTTTATTAAACATATTAGAAAGACATTGAAAGCTACAAAATCTTCTCTGAAAATATTTATAATTAACACTTATAAGTTATATTTATAAGATGTCACATAAGGAATTATTAAAAATTATTTCTTACGACACAAAAAAAGTATACATTTCTTTTATCTACAAGAATGGAATATAGCGTGGTCCACTTGTAGCACAAAATCGAACAAGATAAAAACACATATCTACCCTTGGACTAATATACACCGTTATAAATCATGAAGTAATTATCAACTGACTAAGAATAGGACATTTTAAATATTGTTAATGTTTATTATTTTGTTTGTATTGTATGTTTTAAGTTTATAGTTAATGTTTGTTTGTAGTAAATATTTTTTAATCCAAACCCAATTGCCTATGTTACTGCGAATATAAACAAAAAAAAAATCTTTTTTATCTATACTTTTTTGTTGTAAAGAGTGGAGGGGACTTACTTTCTCCTCTTTATATGATCATATTGTTTGATATAAAGTAAAAATAAAAATAATAAATTGAAATAGAAAATTATAACAAAAGTAGCGTTTTTTGTACAAAAACATTTTTGCATCGAATATAAAATTTTGGGATAAGTGTATTAAATCAAAATAAGAATACAACATTGATATTAATAATATTATTTTGAGATAATAATATAAATTAATTTTTTTAATTACAATTATTGAAATAATAATAAGTAAAGTGTAAACAATAACTATTTATTTATTAGTTTAAAAACGAAAATTTATGTATAAAATTTAATATGTCTGATACAATTATATTTTGCACTCTGTCTACTATTTGTTTTCATGTAAATTTATAAAAGCAATGTATTCATATTTTTATACTATTGTTGTAACCAAACTAAAAATAAAGTTTGGTATCCGGTATTTTATAATATGAACGTTAAACAAAAAAATAAAGGCTTTCTTATTCTGTATTTTAGTTTTTTACTAACTTATATAATAAACTATACTAGTTTTATTTTAAATGTATCATAGTGAAAAAGCAATTTTACATTTAATTCAACAAGTTAATATAAATACTTAAATGAATATTAGTTATCATTATTTAAATAAGAATAAAATAAATACTAAACCATTGCTTTAGCTTGGTAACCATTGCATTGATCATCCATGGACAGCCATAGAGTTTATTAATAAGGATGAACTAATGTTATTTTAAATCTTCGTGATGATTTCGCATAAAAAAACAGAAAATAATATTATTTATCATGAAATTATGAAAGATGTTTAAAAAATAAAACATTTTATGAGAAAAATGAAATGTAGAACAATAATTTCTTAATCATATATTGTTAATGTACACTTTTTGAAAAGGTGATCAATTTATAAAAAAATATAATATCTGAAATTATTTAACAATTAAAGTTTTGTTATTTAATAATAATTAGTGGCCCATTTTTCCTATGGGTTCTTGAAAATATTAAGGATTTGATAAAATAGTTTATTTTTTTTTACTAATTTATATTTACGTATCTCTTATGTAAATCTGTACTAGTTCTAATAAAAAAAATTGTTTCACTATTTTCATAATTAATAATAAATAATCTTATTAATATATTTTTGTTTGTCTCGATTGTTATATGCTTAAATTAAATTAAAAAATGTTTATGTTTTGTCATGGCAAGAGGCGTTATATTACCGTACAAAGAACTGAGGTGGATTTCTTAGAAGAATGTTTTCATCAAAGTTGTTGGAGGTTGACAAATTTACTTTACATCCCCTAATAATAATCTCTAAGATAAACTCTATGTAGAATATACGTTTGCGTACCTAAAATTTCAAGTTATAACACTTGGTACCAGGCATAGTTGAACATAGACTCAACCTTTTATCATCACAAAATTTCTTATCCCTCTATCTCTCAAAAATAAACACCTTTAAAATTATAAATTAATAAAATAAATGAAAAAATAATAACTGCGCTCTAAAATAGCCCAAAATTAATAATATCAGTTAGAGTGTTTTGAATAATTAAAGGACTTAGTGCAACAACCAGATAAGTTCAACTTATTGAGAAAATAATTTTATGTTATTTTTGAATAGAATTGATTCTTTTCAAAAACGATTTCTATATTCCTATTGTTTATGGAGATATTTAATTTATAAATATCATTTAACCATTGTTTTTAATAAAACATGTTTAATAAAATAGCTTTTTCTGAAAAAATTAAAAAAACATGGACTTATTAATTAACCGAGCTTTTCAATTATTCAAATTAAAACTTCCTCCTCTTCTGATTTGGAAAAAAAATACGTCCATTATCTCCTAACAGTTAAACGGTGATTCAAGTAGATTGAGGGGTGCTAAAAGGCAATGCACTTTTTATTATCCCTACTAAATCTTCATGTCACGATTTTTTTATTTTGTTTAAAGCCTCCTTCCATTGACAATGTCTGGGTATGCCCAGTGCCGCAACTATTAAGCTCGAGCCTCCCTAACATTTTATGTAGCCCGGGGTCTGTGTGCCTTGTACACCACTTTTGCGGCACAGTTTAATATTACATACAATAATTGTATATAATAATGAACAGTAATTCTATGTTTTTGGTTTTCACTTGTTACTATAATAATATGTAGAAGTATTGTACAATAGTATTTTTCATTCATAGGTCTTGAATAATGGTTTTAATTTCAGAGTGACACACAGTTCATCAAAACAATAGTCAATAGATAATTTGTAACTAAATAATTCACATTTGTTACAAATGTATAATCGTGTAATGTCTGTTAAGCCACGATCCTAATAACAACAAACTACGGGTCATGGCCATAAGTGAGAGGTACAAAGTATTTATCTTTAACGCACATGTTTTTTCTATTATTTTACTTTAATAATGAATGCACATAGAAGTCAATATAAACATTTTCTGTAGTCAATAGGGATAGTTTCTAAGTATTGTTTATGATTGAATTATTTTTAAATTTTGGAAAATTGATTTAAATTTGAATAAAGTTATAACCGTAAGTATTTATAGAGGAGAAAATAAGGGATGGAACGTGTTGTATAAATTAGTAGGGAATTTTACGCTTTAAGTTTTTCACAACGTTTATACTAATACCCTCATATGATAATCATTATAAAAATTTCAACAAAAATCTCCTAAACTCTTTAAATACACGTATACTATATACATAGTAGAACAGTTCTAACTGACAACTCCTATATATTTCATACAATTAACATTTCACTAGAATTTTTTGTTTAAACAGTTTTTGAATTCTTAGGCTACGTTGAAATCATATTAGTTATTATTAAAAACATATAATAAAAACTATGCTTATAACACAATCTATAAATGCAATAATTGTTTAGAAAAGATTACAGAAAATTTATTATTAGATTAAAAATTATAAAAATTGTTAATGAGATATGCCGGTACAAGTTATAACTTATATTTCTATATATTTGTATAGAAACTTACTTTCGAATAAAAAGTAATGAAACAAAATTAGATTGATGTTTTTTTAACTTTAATTTTTTTAATATTAGATCAAGATCCTAGGGACTTTATTTTAATTCAAATAGTTATTTAAAAAAAAAAACAAAATTATTTTTTTTTAATAATTGTTTTTCCAAATAGACAAAGTATTTTTTATGATGATTCAATCTTCAACATCTTTTATACAGAATTCTATATCACCTGTAAGTAAAAAAGAGTTAGCAATATTGACAAAACATGCCATAATAGAACTGTAATTTCATTGCCAAGTACGCGTCTTTACTCTAATAAAAAAATTAGTATATATTTTTCTTTAAAGTATATATACTTATCAAAGCATCAAATTTGGCTAGTTTAATTTACCGAAAAAACCATAATTGTTAAAAAAATATTTCATTTATGTTCTTTTATATTTTCAGATCGTTCGTATTATTATGGTAAAAAAATTAATTTTTTCATAATACTAATTTATTCAGACGACCTTCATCAATAATATATATAAATAATTAAATTTTTTATTTAAAAATAAGGCTAAAAAAAAATATGTGCGAAATTCTTAATTGTCGCAAAATTATGTTCTGGAGAAAGAATATATAGAAGTATTTAAAGTGATATTTAAACATCATATTTATGACACTCGTAGAGGCAGTAACGACTTCCTATTGTACGTTGTATAATCACTTAATACTAATTTAAGGTGTCTATTTAAATATTATCATAGGAATTAAAATACGTACTTAAATAGATAGTAGATAAATTTAAAGTTTTTCAACATTTTTATTTGGAAATTAGACACGCATGTAATTAATAATCATGATAATTTATAGGGCTTAAAATGTTTTTTTATGATACTTTTTATGAATAATGTCTAAATACTATAAACTGAATAATATATAGAGTGTTCAGTAAATAAGGAAACGGGTTTCAATTATTCTCATTGTTTGTGACAATTGACCAATACAGAGTGATTCTTTAAATACACCCCACACAATATCTTCGGAAATATTAGAACTTATCATTAATTAAGTTTTTTAACAATAATGATTTTTTGTTTGAACTGCTTTGTACGAAAATAAATTATTTTCTATCATTCCCCATAACCTTAAAATTTATAACGATTTTCGATTTTCAAAACTCAATTTCATCAAATTTATTCAATTGAAAAAAAATGTTTATTTAATAAAACAATTATTCGATTTTTAACGAAATACTGCTGTTTAATGTTTAGAAAATAACAGAAAAAAATTTAAATATTTTTAAAAGACGGCAACATTATCAAGTCTTTATATCAATAAACGCTACCGAATTAAAGAAATACGATAATCTATACACCTATGAATATTTATCTATCTATAAATACAGAGTGATTCATGATGTTTTGGTAAATCTAATAACTTTTAACCAAGTGAATACTTTTCATTACTTTTATAATAATAATTTTTGCATCTAAAAATTATTTAAAAACTTCATTCAAAACTGTAATTTAGGACTGTGTTATAAGCATATCTTTTATTATTAGCTCCTATATAACAATCCCTAATAAGAAAAAAAATGTTTTAATAGTCATTTTTATACCTTTTTTTTTATAAAATATGTTGATAGGTCTATAATGACTTTAGGATAAGTATTTATTGAATTACAATCCTTTAAATATATAAAATGTAACACAGGTGGGTATAGTTCGTAATTGTATGCGTATACCCACTCAATGTATTTAAATGCTTGTAATTCAATAGTACTTCTCCTAAAGTTGTTAACAATCAATCAATGTTTTTTGCAAGAAAAGAACTAAAAAAATGCTATTTTGAAATTTGGAAAAAATAAAAAAATTTCTTTTTTTTTTTAGAGACAAATAATAAAAAAAATTCTTTTAATATATTCTAAAACTAAAAAAACCAATTAAAAATAAAAATAAATTTATAAAATAGTAACGCAAAATATTCACTGGTTCACAGTTGTTAAAAATATTAAAACATGATGAGACAACCTGAATATGTTGCCGTTAAATAAAGTTGTCACCCTAATATAGCGTTAGGGATAAACTGATAAGTATTTAATAATTGATAAATTAACATGTCCATTTTTGTTTCTTTTTTTTTAAATTAATATACAAAAAATTCATTGTTGCTGTATTAATATTTTTATTGTCTATTTATAATTTATGTTACATTTTAATGTATTATTATTATTTTATACTAATGTACTATACTATAATGCTATTTTTGTAGTGTTTATATATCTAAATAAAAAAAGCTATAATTATAATTTATGAAATAATTATTCATTTTTATTTTCATAATGAATATTGTTTTAAGTTGATAATGAACTTTTCCCTTTTAATCCTTTTATAGAGTTCTATTATAATGTAGTAAGATATAAGGTTTTATATAATAAAATATTATTTGAATTTAGGTAATAAGCTAATTTTCAACTTTTTTCAAACTATCATTAATTTAACCACATAACTTGCTAGTTCTTTGTTAGTAAGTATATTCAATATTTCCGAAAATACTAGAATTGTTATAAGTTCAATAAATTGATTAGATTTATTAAATTGTTTTCTTTATCGGTTATAAAAATGGATAAAATTATTAAATTGTCTAAAAAATCTAAAATCTAGGTTAAATTGTATAATTATTAGTAAAAATTGTGATCTGAAAGTATAAGAATAAACTCATGTAATTTATAAATAGGCAAGCCTTCCCTCAGACTAAATCTTTAGAATACTTAGGGGTGTAAATATAAGAGAAACTTGATAGGTCCTGTGAACTCTAGAAGTAACAATATTTCATAACATTTTTAAATACTGAATGTCAACGTGAGCCTGGACTGCTATTGTGTCTGGGTTAGACCCATTATTTTTTATGATTCATCAGTTTTTTCTCTCGAACCTCTCTTATTTTTTTAGACTCAACATAAAAAAATATGCAAGCTACGTCAATTTACAACGTTATCGGTATTGAAATTGTGATACGTCAGATTTGTAGTACAAATCCAACGTAATAAGGTCCACAAAAAACCTCGCAAATTTATAATTGTGTACACCTAAACGGACTTAAAAATACATTTAGATGTATGAAACAAACATGACTACATATCAGTAACATACAAATAATGCAATCAAACAGAAAGAAATTTCCTCGAATTCTTACAAACAGACGATTATCTTACTAAGATGTATGTTAAACTAAATTGTCTGTGGACATTTTCACAGTTATACTAAACTAATATTTTCATTTGTATGGTATGATAATTAAGAATAGGAATAACAATAATATTATTAATAATAATAATATTTTATTATTTAATTAAAACTATCTATTATTAACCAAGAAAAAATTGATTTTAAATCTATTGTAGTATTTGTAAATAATATGCATTAATTTCATTAAATTAAAATAAACTCAAGTTCGAGATAATTAAAAGTGTAACGCTTTTGTTTTTTTTACTTATGTCGGGAATTTATTTAGTTTGGTCTTCGCTCGAAATATACCCCTTTGTTATAAAAATTCATAGAATTATAAAAATATTGTGTACCATATTTTGTAGTATTTACTACGATAAAGAAAAAGTGTATATAAAAGTATTTATTCAAGTAATCTTAATAATTTCTAAACTTATATTTGTAACAGGATGCTACCCAAAATGTTGATTTCTGAACAATATTAGATAAAAAATCTTTAAATACACAATAACTATTAATTACATTTACATTATAGACATTTAATATAGTGTTTTAAAGGTCACTCAATGTTGATAACCAATTAAAATTAATATTTATTTAAATCAACAAAATATAAATTTAAGGTCACTATTGAAAAATACGTAATACGCCTAGAATATCTTTAAGATAAAAATGTATTTAAAATAGCTTTTTATGGAAGACATATTTATTTCTTTCCGTACGTATAAATATAAATGTAAATAATATAACCACGTGTAAAGATTAGAGTGAAGTACACATCTAAGATAGTTCATATAATTTTTTTGTCTGTAATATTTAAGAATCATTATCATTGTCTAGATATGAATAATCAGCAGGTAAAAATTGTTTAAAATAATTTATTAACAAAATTTTTATTTAAATTGTTTATACTACAATAAAATAATGATCTAATGTTCTTTTATAATTATTTAAAATTCTAAACGAAGAATTTCCATAGACTAATTTTATTTATACTAAACCAATAAATTTGTTTGCTCTTACTAAGATTTTTCAGAGTAAATTTGTAAAACTGGATACATTTTAATATCTTATTATTACTAATTAATAGAGCAGAGGACTTGAAGAAATTAAAAAATGCTAAATTACTTAAATTAAAGCAATTATGTACTAAAAATTCTTAAAATAAAAAAAAATTTTTCTGTTTTTGCAGACTTACGTGGTTCTAAAAAAAAATATTTTTCTCTTTCAAATTCCCTTAAATCAATTTTTATTACAACGATGATGATTTGTGCATAATTTGGTATTTTTATATTGATTTCGTTCAGTATCGTTTTTTTTTTCTGAAATATTTTTACTCGTTGTTGTTGGTGGTTGACAAATTAAATATTAATCATAAATATTAGTAAACAAAGAATAAGAATTTAAAGTAAATTATCCAAATAAGATCAAAATTAAAAAATTAATAATTTTCTATAAACTTACAACTTATTAATTTTAATCAATAACCGCTTGTAGGTCTTATAGATATGAATCATATTAATATGTAAATAGTAATTGTAGGGCAATAATAATATTTTACTTAGATAAGACTCGATAATGATGCTAGACATAAAATTACCGAGCACCGTACTTTAATATGCCAATTTCAATTATTAGAAATCATCATTACATTAAATGACTACAGAAAAAATTTAAATAATTTTATTATCATAACGATTCGATTATCATAATCCACTAATTTCCTTATTAAATTCGTAATTAATTTCGGAAATACTCCTTTTAGATTTTTTACGCGGGCGAAGTATACGTACTTTTTTATGAACTGTATCCACCTGTGCTAAATACTTACTCTTTGTATTAGAACGCTTATAATTCAATTAGAACTTATCCTAAAGTTTAAAGTTATCGGACCATTAAAATTTGCTGTGAGAAAAGTTGTTAAGTTGATCAGTTATTTTCTTAATTATATAATATACTATTATGTAATCATTTATTCATAAATATTTAAAATTTTTTAAATGACAAAGGTAAAAACAAAAACAAAAAAAATATTCCTTAAATAGTTTTTATTTTGGAAGTGGGTTTAATAAATAGAATCATTCTGTATATGATATACATTAATTTAAACCAAAAAATTTGGATAGCTGTAACCTGTACAATATAATTCAAATTTACCTACATGTCCTAATTTTTACAAATTAAACATTAGTAGCTGATCTAGTTTTACATTTTTTTTAATGTGTATTCAAACGATTTCATCGTTTTATTAACGCCGTTAAAGTATATAACACAGATTAAACAACATTATTCATTCTGATACTAAAATTAGTTTGTTTACTGTAAAAAAAATCTATATATCATTATAAATGGTTGAATGAAAATTGGTACTACGATTTTATTAAAATAGTTGAGGTAAAAAAATTATTGTCTGTTTCACTTAAATTTAATGTAGTTAAAATTAATTAATTCAAAATTAAAATATACTTAATATACTAATATTAAATATTATACACTTGGTATACTAACAAAAAAAGATTTTAAATAAAAAAAGTATCAAACTGATATATTTTTTTAAATAATTAAATAATTTTAATTTAATTAATATTGTACAGTATCATCATTATCTCAAAGTCTTATTACTTTATTATAACTAAACATTTTATTTTGACAAATATATCATAAGCTTAAACAAATTCAGCACTTATAGACATATAGACTAAACAAAACCTGTGTTTTTTCAAATTAAAAAAACTTGAATATAGATTCGTATTTTTTTTAGCTCAATATCAAAATCCGTATAAAAGTCGAGTGTAAGGATTTGAAAGTTATACCTTTTTACTTATTGGAGTTAAAAATTAAAATATATTATAGGGAATAATTTGCAATTTCGAGAAATCATAATTTTTTTTTATGTAAAATGTATGCTTTATAATGCCTTGTAAGCTTTTAGTAAAATGTGCGTTCATTAAATGAACTATTCCATTAATTTTTGTATTTTTATCCCAGTTCAAAGATTCTTGGCCAATCGTGAAAATGAATTGTAATAATGTTGTCAAAAACAATATGCTCGTTAGTTTTGTTTTATTGTAAAATGAAAATATTTTATTACGAATTTGTTTTTTTTAGTCTTTTAATACTTAATGTTAATAATATACAACACATAAGTGCATTGTAGTATTCAATAATTCCACTATTGCGAAAAAGTTTAATAAAAAATGTTGGTAAATAAGCCTTCTTTTGGCTATTGCAATGTTTTTTTCGTTTTTAGTTCAAATGCACATGGATGCTTTAAATAAAAGGATATAAATCACAAAGCTTCAAGTACACCTGATAACGTTTATTGGTAAGTAAAGACTTGTATAGCTATAAAAATAAGTATTTCTAAATATTAAAAAAAAATTCCATATTTCATTTTTCGAATAAAATTAAAAGAAAATATTAGTTTTAATTTTTTTTTTTAAGGAAAAATCATTAGTATTATAAAATAAAAAAAAATTTTTTTGGGAAGTTATTCTCTGAGAATTTTTAATTCATCCTTGTTTATAGCCTACAATAGCAAAGTTGATAAATAATTTATAGTTAAATTTTCGATATCATTGTGTATATTCAAGTGTTGAAAGTGAATATAACTGTAATAGGACACAGTTGCCATTAATAAAACTACATAAATATATATTGCATTAAATATGCAGTATTCGTCGAGTTTAGTATAAAGAATAATAATACAAACAAGTACAATAATGGAAAGTGTGTTTTTAATACATGAATATTTTTGTTAAATAATATTCAATTTGGGTTTTAACAGTTGAAAGAAAGTTATATCTAGTTAAGTGAACTTTAAACATTCATATGAATCTGTTTCTATCCTATTCGAAGAACTTTTCTTGTTTTTAATCTACTAGTTTTTTTTGCTATTATTTTTAATTATTAGTTTCTACTTTTTATTAATGGTAAGGCTCAAATTGGGGCTTTGAAAGGCGTAGTTCTTTCAATATTTTAGGGAAATCACATGTATGGTTATATAAAAAAAATTTAGGATAAGGAAATTACATATGAGCCCCTCCAAAAATTTTGTTGAAATTATGCCTAAGAGCCCAGGTATCTAGTGTGTTAACAATAGTTAATAATTTAAAATTAATTTGGGAAATAAAAGGATTTTAATGCGAACTCTTAACGGATATATATAAGATTGGGACGATTTCTAAATATGAAAAAGAGGTAGAAGCATATGTATCTGCTTCTATGAGCAATTTTCCAATTCAGTAAAAGGATACTGATCTAATCGTAAATTTTATGTGAATATAAGTCTATAAATCTGAATCTATTAATGAAATAAATAAACCATTGTTATTAAAATATATAACAATTTAAAGTTTAATTATATTAATACTAATAGAATATCTATGATAACCCATTCCTCACAGGGACAGATTGGCTCATCAGTAAACAGGGTTTTTTACGGTGGTCCTCTGACTTAGATATCATTCGTTTTATAACTGGGGGGGGCCCAAATATTTCTCTTGTGTTCGTTTTTAAATTATCAAGAAAAATAATAATTAATTATATATTACAACACTTAATTTTTATGAATGATGAAAAAGATTAACTCGAACATATTAAAAAAGATATTATAAATATTTTAAGTACTCAACATAAATTGCATGGGAATATGTCATTATTTCTAAATTAATTAATACATTTTAATTATTTAAAACGAGTATAGATACAATTTACTGCGAGCGTAATGAGCGGAATTATTTTTATGATTTAGGACACTATCTAATAGTTCCCGGTAAATAAAAAATCGACTATCTAACATTACTGGGTTCTCGTACAAAATCACAAGAAGGTAAAAAAAAATTGACATTCAAAAGTAATATCAGGGGAAAATGTCTCTAGTGAAATAATAGCCACAGGTCCCACAACTCTTACTTGAGCTTTAAATATAATATAAAATCATACAAATAACTAAACCAGCCTACTTTTTTGTTTTGATTTATTTTTAGCTATAAACGTCAGCATAAATTATTTGGAAACATTGTATTATTGTACCGAGTCTATTGACTTTTTGTTTTTAATTTTATGATTAATACTTATTATGTAGTGTAACATTACACTAATAACAGTCGAGGTAGTAGTAATATTATGTTTCATTATTTGTAACAATCCTAATGTTTCCTTTTAATATTTTGTACCGTAAGACCGTTAAACACAAAACTAATTTGCAAATGTTGCGTAAATTCAATTATATAAAATAAAATGCAAAATAGCATTTAATGACGATTACATATAAATATAAAATTTTGTTTGGCGCTTGCAGGTTTGAGATTTCAAAAGAAACAGAAAACGTGGTTTTGTCGTTTTACACTTTACTCTATTATTTAGCTGAGTAAAATAAATTACTTTTTAGGGAAAAAAATCAAGATAACCTTTTTCTCTTTACACACATTGTGCACGAGTTCAAACTATTATTATAGGTTATGTTATAAGAAAATAAAAAGAATTTAAAATTACAATAATGCGTTAAAATAAATTTAAAACATCATTGCAAGAGTCAAATGTGTTTTACACACTAAATGGTGTAGATAGTTCTAAATATAGACATGATTGTCCTTAGGGGAGGGACTGTTAAAGTCTAGGCCATGGGAAACTCAAAACTTTACAAAAAAATATATTTTTTATTGTTTCATTTTTCAATTTTAGTAAAAACTTAATTTATAAAAGATAACAATTAAATTTGATAGTTATAATAATATGTAATTTTTCAAATAATTTTAAAAGATTATTTTTACAATAACTTGTTTGCATATTATGGAAGTTAAAAATAAAATCAGATTAAAAGATAAAAATATTAATACAAAAATCTTTATTATTGAATTATTATCTATTTACATGAAATATACAATGATATTTTATAAAAGTCATATCATGACTTTTAAAAAATAACAACATTTTATAAAAAAATACCTTGGGATATATTATTAAGTGAAATTTATTCTAGAAAAGAAATATTTTATGTAGGTACCCCGTGTAAAACAGTAATTAGAATTTTTCAAATATGTAACCTTGTATTTATAGCTTATTATACAAGTACTACTTTATCAAAATACATTTTTGTTTTCCTTAAGAATTTTTTTTTATCAAAAAATACTTTTCGCTTTTTTTCCACGAATACTTTTTTACAATATATAGTCTATAAGTATTGTATTTTATGCATAGAATGTCGTAAAAACACGTTTTGAAGTATATGAAAACATTTATGTTTTCAGATTAATTAATTAATTAATTACCCCAAAAATAACTTCAGTTAAAGAAATGATTGAAAGATATATTACTATTTATCGACTGATTTGATCAAATTTTTATGGTTTGAGTCTCTTGTTAAATCAAATTATACGAATAAAATATTTCATTTGTATCTATTATGGTTATAATTGAAGACATTTTATTAAATATTAATATATAGCACATGTAGAAGCCACCAAATAGAATTTCATTCGGATGAGAGAACCTTTTTGGGATTTGTTTTGTGAGACATTTATTTTTTTACAGGAAATCTGTTATTTGGTACGATGCATTGTGTGAAGTAGGTTGAGATATTGAAAACACATTTTCCCGAAGAATATTTTACTATCATATAATAAAAAAAAATTATCATATTGAGTTAAACATAATATTTAAGCTGGTTTTACACTTAACGTTTTTAAAAAAGTGTTTCAGACGCTACGCTGCTTTGCTTACACATTATGCAATTATAACGCTGCATTTGCAACACGAGAGGAAAAATAGTAAAATATTGTAAACCATGTTTCCAACTTCTTTTTCATTTGACTCGTGGTCAGTGATCTTATTTGTTATTTTTTAAATGTGGTGTACACTTTATATAAAAATCCATAAGCTCGGAAAAAACCAAAAGTGAAAAGAAATAAACGTTGTTGGTGGGTACATCCGGAAACTAGAGAAGATAAAGATTGTTTATTTGGATAAATTTTAGCTCTTAGGACTTTGACTATAATTAATTAATTATAGTTTTTATTAATTAAGACTGTACTAAAGATGAAGATTGCGTACAAGAAGTTTGTTGTCTATTATAAGAGCTAGAAGGAGGATTGCGGGATATAGGATTATTTAAGGCTGACGACTGAAAAGAATTAAATTCATTATTGATTCGAACGATAATTTAAACTTGAGAGTTTATAGGAAGAGGATTGGAAAATTGCTGAATAGAGTTAAAAAGCTAAATAAATAAATCCAAATTTATTACTTATACTGAGTATACTTTGACTACATAGGCAATTATCAGGGACGGACTATACTACAGCACATCACGAAAATCGGACGGCTGGCAAAGTACTGAAAAGGTGCTGCGACTGTGATTTGACAATTTAATTATTTTTATTTTTAATCTAATCAATGATTGTTTTAAAAAAATTGTATTTTTATTCATATTGGACAACAAAAAATGATATAAATATATTTATAGTAAATTTATTGACGATATATCGTAAAATATTTTGTAGGCTAAAATAATTCAAGTTAATTGGCTTTATATATTATAACTTTAAAAAAATAGAGGGTTATAATATTGGGACCCCCGAAATAGTAAAATTTGTTCAAAAAGTTAAATTGATGAGCAAAAAAACATTTTTTAAGCCAGTAAACATAGCTATGCGGCTCGAATCCTTCAAGTCCGATCCTGACAATCATAATATAATAAAATATAATACCTGTAAATAAATCATTTGAAACAGGTCAACTTTCATTTCACAGTGCTGTCTGTACAATGTACAAGAAATATGTTTTAACCCTTCAAACAAACGTAACACTAAGATTTCTCCCTTTTTTAAATTTTAATCGCAATTAAAATTCTCAATTCCATTAATTCTAATTTGGATTACGCTATTAATAATAGTACCTTAGCCTACCCTGCACTTCGAAGTCTTATGCAGTTGTATATGAGCCCTTCGTGACAGCTGTTTTCAAAGTAAATATAAAGGGTATTTAAAAACTTAATTAGGTTCTAAATGTCTCCTCATTTTGGATAGCAATTATAAATGCTTCAGTATTAAATGTACTAAATATTTTTTTAATTTTCAAAAAATAACAAGGATACCTAAAAGATCAGAAAATGACAGAACAACAAAAATGATACTCGATGCGCGGTGAAAACGCGGTCAGAAACACTGTGAATGGTTTAATTGAAAACCAGTTGTTCTATTTTGGCATCCAGACGCCCCAAAAATCAAATAAGAGCGTTCGATAGCGTCGCCAGAAACGCGTGTAAGCGCTTATAGAAATACACGATAGTTCAGACCAGCGTGTTTCCGACGGATTTACAACGATGATTGTGACAAAATTAAGACTCTATCACAAATTATGTTATATATTATTCATTCATTTAGAGATTACTTTTTATAATTCCCCAGCTCTGTAATTGGGCAATGGAAAATTAGCTAGGCTCCAATGTAGCTTATTGTTTTATTTTATTTTATTATTGGCTCGTAACCTCCTCAATACCAAGACCAGCTCTCGTTATAACGAAATCGTATCCATACAATATCTTATCAGTAGAATTATTCGACTGATTAAGGCCTTAAATTATACAGCAAAAATTGACAGCCTATTCGTTCTGCAGCTAACATTTTATATTATGGTATAGTATCAATACAACATTATTGTTTATTATAAATCAACGATATAACTCTGTTGGATAACTTTGACGTAGGTGGGCCCAACCATATTATTAGTTAAAAAGCAATTGTGTCCATAACTCGATAATAGGGTTAATGTTACGATTTATGTATAGTTAATTTAAATATTTTTAAAAGATAGTAAACGTGTTAATATTTAAGTTAATGCTCTTGTTAACCGATAGACCGGACATCCGATCTGCAAATTAAATATTGAATAAGCAGGTTTTCTATTGAACACGTGGGGTGCATAAAAAAGTGATTACGATAACAAATATGTAAATTGTGATAAATTACAAGAATCTTTTCGTTCTCATAGATCTGTATGTTGAAATCAATGATCTCCAAGTTAGTTTTTTTTACGTGTTTGAATTAGGTACTCCTCCAGATTATATTCGAGTATAATAGAAACTGATGGTTAGTTTCATATGATTTTACTTTTATAAAAAACGTTAATAACTTATAACCTATTATAAAATAAAACTCAATTACAATAATCTATAAACCCATATTATTTTATTAAGCCATTTTTATGAAAGGAATCATAGCCCGACATTACAGTATATTTATTGTGAATTACACGATTACTATACTTGTATAATTGAACACTGTATCATTTCTAATAATTAAAATTTTATAAATAATGAAACCAATTTATACTGAAAATTCATATTTTAAAAACATATTTTAATTTGTAAGATTTAGTGTTATAAACAAAAAAAAAATTAAGGATTAGACTCTTAGCTAAAACTATGGTTTAATACACTTTTGAAAATCAGCAAAGAATGTGTTCATTTTGTGAAGTAACAACATTTTTGAGTATATCATCATCTACCACAGAATTACTGTGCGTAACGACGGCAGCCAAAACACGTGCACTGTGGGTGGCGTGCCGGAGTACCGCTCGGGGCAAGGTAGTCTGGTAGATGAAGTGCTTTGGCGGCGTAGAGGTGGCGGTGTAGGCGGGCGAAACCGGCGCGTTAGAAGTAAAGATCTATCCCGATACGGTAAAAGTGTTGGCTGCACTGCGTGTTGGCGGCTAGTTTTTCACGGCGTTTAGCTCTCATTCTCGGTACGTTCTTTCCGCACTTGGTCGCCGACGTACCAGCTGCTGCCATCGCCGACAGTCAGCCAACCCCGCCGTCGTCGTACCGATCGAAGTTCGAAGTAATACCGCCGCCAGACGGATCATATACCACACAGTCTTCTTTCACTATATTCACTTCACACTTAGCCATCGTTGGCTTTCAACATACCACCACTGACGTACGGCTCCCTTCCGGCATTTATTATACATTTATTTCATTATTATAATTACTGTTTATAGTTATCGTATTATTATTTTTCATCTTTTTTTTTTTCAATTTTTTTTTAACCGGAAAAACAGAATCTAGTACAATTCGTCATTTTTCTATCAAGTTGGAGCAAAGATAGTATACAACATCATTCAGTCTAGAAGATAATCATGCCGGACGAGAAGAAGCTTTCGTATGCCTACACCAATGGCTTTGCAACCAACGGACACGGTAACGGAGGTATACCTCCGGAGAGTCCAGACGGCGAGATGTTTTTGTTTACTTCGGAATCTGTTGGCGAAGGACACCCTGGTGAGTACTTATAACTCACTTTCATTTTTATTTTATATTTTTAACTGATTTATTTCAATCCTTTTTTTATCTTCTCTCGGCACAGATCGATGGTCTACCAAAACATAAGCTGAACACGTGTTTTGCATCTATATTGAGCATAATTAATTTTTCTTCGTATTTCGTGCATTTCTTTCTTTGTTAGAGGGTTTTCCAACGTTTAAATACAGTTAATTTTTTTTCCTAATTCTATCGTAACCTTTGATTCTATAATCTTTTCCGTATACATAGTGTGAGTATGTGTGTGTACACATGTTTTGTTCTTTGATAAGAGACTTTTTTTTCCCTGACCCCAGTTGTTGGCTCATGGCCAGTAGAAAACCGCAAATAAATATATCATTATCAACAATTATAAATTAAAAAAGCTTTAAGTGGAAAATCTTGCGTATTTGTAAAAAATAACCATGGCTCGCGGTTTATTTGTTTTTTGTTTTTATCTACAGATAAAATGTGCGATCAAATCAGCGATGCTATCTTGGATGCGCACCTGGAACAAGACCCTGACGCAAAAGTTGCTTGTGGTATGTTTTTTACGTGTTATTTATATACAATCAAAATAATTTGTAGCGTATTTAAGTTAGAAGAAAATAATTAAATTATTGCAAATAAGTTCTATGTTCACGGAAATAATTATCATCATTAAACATGATGTTAATTTTTTAGGTTATAGTGTATTGCGTAAATTGATAATGATCTTAGATCAGTATTCATATTATTGTGATTATAATTGAAATAAAAAGTGATAACTATTATTAAAAGTTCAATTTTAAGCTTATTATAAAAGATATTTATAGGAAGATTCTTTTATCACGAAATATTTAGTTCATCAAAAAATAATATTGATGATATTTTTAAACTGTTTGCTGAACAGCAACACAAATTAATATCAAATTAACTGAATTATTAATATTTTATTAATTACTGATAATATAAATAATTACATATTGTTAAAATATGCATAGAATATGATTAAACAAATTTTATTTTATGTTATGTATATTAAAAAATGAAAATTTTGATTGAGTTTTCCTATTTATAGAATGTTAAAGGAATAATATGTATTGTTTATTCGGATGATTATTAATTAATAAATCTTTATTAATTTATAGAAACTGTTACCAAAACTGGAATGGTATTACTTTGTGGAGAAATAACATCAAAAGCTAATGTAGATTATCAAAGAGTAGTTCGAGATACTATTAGACATATTGGATATGACGATTCATCAAAAGGTAATTTTATTTTTTATTTCTTAAAACTACCATGGTTAATTAAACAGTGACAAATTTTAAATATATATGACATTTTAATGGAAAAAGTTAATATATTTTTTGAATCTGTATCTTAATTTAATAAATTTTATCCTTGAATCAGTTGTTTGATTTTTTCATTCACATTGAGTTAATCTTTTTATTAAATTTATCAAATATTCATCAAAAAGTATGTTTAAGTTATAAGTCAATTATTTGTTTTAAAATTCTGTTGTGTTTGATACAGTTATTGCTTTTATTCCTAAAAATTGAATATTAATTAATAAAACTTGGTACTGTTTAAATTTAAAATAAAATTACGTAAGTAAATTTTGGTTGGACCAACATTAATTATAATACCATTGAAATATTTATTCATTACATTAAAGTAATAATTGTTCACTTAAAATATTTTTAAACATAGTCTGTAAAACTAATATAGTTTTTTGCTTATAAATATTCTGTCTTTTTGTGAAAAATTAAACTAGGAATATTTTCTTATATTATATATAGGTAAATAAGCGTGTTAAAAAAAACTAGTACTGCGTGTAATGCATTTGTTATTGTATGTTTCTAAAAGAATCAAACATAAGTATCAATATTTGAGTAGTAAATAATAATTAAATAGTTGAGTAAATGATAAAAATTATATTTCTAAATTTTCATTAACCAAAGTATGATAAAAAAAAATGATTGTATTATTTATCATCAGTGTCACATCTTAAAAGTTTATTAACTGCAACAATTTTTCATTTAAATTATTAGCAATATGGTTAATAGGAGTTGGCTAATATCTATCATATAATACAATGGTGGATTATTATTCAAGTAATTTTTTTACCTATTGTGCATATTTATTTTTTAGCAATTAACTAGTGTTAATTGGTTTACACTTTACAAGTTGAGTTTACAAGTTAAACTTAGCATTAGTAAAAACTTTTAATAAATTATTCAATTTATAAAATAATGTATACATTTCACAAGTAAAATTTTGTGACTTAAATCTTTACTTATATGTTAAAAAGTTTGCCCATTCATCAATCAATTAAAAAAAATGAATAATAGAAACATGTAACACCCACAGGGTTTGACTACAAGACATGCAATGTTCTCGTCACACTTGATGAACAGTCTTCTAATATTGCGGATGGCGTACATGTAAACAAAATTGAAGATGCTATTGGGGCTGGGGACCAGGTAGGGTATAAAGAAAGCATATAAACTGTGGGGTATACATAATTGAATAAAATATGTGTTGTCAAATGAAATTACTTAAACTGTTCTTTGATTGAAACTACTGGGGGTTAGTCATACAAAATTGAAATTATTTAATTCATATCATCAATTTTTATTAAAATTATTGTACTTGAACTGCTTTTCATAGTTTGTTATAATTTGAATACTACTCAATACGGTAAGTGGTTGCCTTGAAAAAAATATTATTATAAATACCATTACCATCAGCATGTAGTTTAATCACACTTAATAATCTCAGTTTAAAGTTCAAGAATAATATTAAGTTACTAAAGAGTATTCTTGGTTTTAACTGATTTTTTTCTATTAATGGGTTTGATTGAATTAGATTTATACGTACAATTTTAAATAATTTTTTATTTCTTTAAGAAATATAAGTAACTTATATTAAGAATTTAGGTTTTATATTGTTAAAATATAAATAAAATTAAAAAAAATTATTTCATTTTTTATTGTGAACTAATTTTTTTTTTTTGCATGTGAAAATAGATAAATGTTAAATAATACCTGCTTACTTTATTGCATGAACTATTATATATAATAAATCTAATCAACAATATTGATAGATATTATTATATGATGAAGCCATCAGATGAACAAACTACTTACTTTTTAGGACATATTAGATTTTTTTTATGTTCCTTACACCAACAGTTTTGTGCTATGTGGGTGTTCTTTCTGTATGATCAATTAGTTGTATTGACACTGGGCTCTGTTTAAATGTGTGGGCAGTTATAGACATAATAAATTTAAAAAAACTTATTATCAACACGTTTCTATATATATATATATATTAATTTGTAGACTTCAAGCTATAAACTAAATAAATCATGATTATTAGAGTATTGTATTGTGTGTGTGTGTGTTAAAATGAAATTTAAGTAAAAACGTCTTTATGAATTTTGGAACTAGAGCTCATTTAATGAATCTGTTGAGTGCATAAGCTTTTGTAACTAATATAATTTAAAATAAACTATCTTTCAGTTTCATCCTCAATTTTTTTTAAGTAGTTTGTATGATGCCTTAGTTGCATTATTTTATGAGTTACTGTCAGTCAGACATTTTTTTAGTTAATTTGTGAACATTTATGGGTTGGTCCAACTTAAAATGATACATAAGAAATAAATGTTACTTACGCATATAAATTGCTGATTGTTGCTATATATTGTGTGTTGTCCGCCCTTGGGTTGGTAGGTTTTGATTACAAGACATGTTCAGTGATGCTTGCTATTGATCAACAATCTCCAAATATTGCTGCCGGTGTGCATATCAACAGACCAGCTGAAGAGGTCGGTGCTGGAGATCAGGTATGTTTCATGCTTATAAAAGATCATAAATAGTTGGTTAAATCTTGGGATTCTGTCTGTATTTATTTTCAAATATGACTTCTCTAATTTTCTTGGTCAAGAAAATTTAAAAAAAAAAGGAAAAATGATGCTTCAAGTACATGGATATTATTTTATGCACAATCAGTATATATTTCAAATTACCTGATATTATCTGTCTAGACATAGTTTTAAATCTTGGATAAGTGTCGTATTATCCAATAGATTTTTGCTGACTTTGATATGAAGTTACTTTTTACTGAAAACTACAAAAAAAAAATTTTACTTATTTTAATAGTAATGAAATATTGTATATTAACCTTTTTTTTTTAATTGCTTGCAAGTATTATTATTAACATTTATGTATTTTTACTTAATTTTAGAACTTTATTTCTTTATAATTCTATTAATTCATCAAAATATTTATTAACTCTTACTAGATTGTACTAATTTTTTATCGCTTGCAATTTTTTGTTTAAAAATCATTAATATTTACTTGCAATATTTTATTTCCAAAAAAAGAAACTCAAAGTACACTTTGTCAACTAACATAGGTGGTAATTTATTTCAATTATTGTTAATTCACAAATTTTATCTACTTTATATGAACACACTTTTGATTATCTAGTTTTTGAGTGATTTTGTAATAGTAATAAAAGAAGTATAAAATACTTAACTAATAGGTTAAATTATACTGTTATAGAAAAAAATAAATATATTTTATATTTCAGGGGTTAATGTTTGGATATGCAACTGATGAGACTGAAGAATGTATGCCTCTTACAGTAGTTTTAGCGCACAAACTCAATGAAAAGGTAGCTGAACTTAGAAGGAATGGAGAATTATGGTGGGCACGACCAGATACAAAAACACAAGTAATTTTTTTGATGTTATTTAATATTACAATCAGTTGATATTATACTCGAGTATTAATAATTAAAAATGATCATTTTTGTATTATATGAGGACATAAGTATAATTGACTATGTTTTTAAGGATATTTCAATGACTGTAGTACAATATTATAAAATAGTATTGTTTATGAAATTAGAATCTGATATATAGTATAAAATGATTTATGACTTCATATGCACTTGGCATTTTATTAGTGTTACATGTCCTACTCAAAAGCTTTTTATCTTTACTTTTTTAAAGAGAAAAAATACAAGGTTATTAGTGATCTATTCAGTTCATTCATTAGCTAAAAAAGAATAATTGCTGAGTGTATAATAATTAGTAGTAGCTAAATTCATTGTAATATTTTACAGCATGTTTAATATACTAAATAAAATTGACAAAAGACAGTTAATAAAAAATCTTACTATGTTCAAAAGATTGTAAAAAACTATATGTTATGTTGATGGCAGCTGCAGTACAAAGAGCAGTTATTTATCTTACAATTAAAGACCTATATATCTGTAATGAATCAAATATCAAGGGGTAGAATAATCAAAATGAACTAAATTTATTTAGAAATTTTTTTTTGTGAAAGAAAAAAAAAGGGAGGAGATACCTTCAGTTTAAAGTGAAATAACTGTTAATAATGTCCACTATAAATAATTGACTGATGTTGTTATAATTAGGATGTTGCTTTTAGTAATCATGAGTATGTGAATATTATTCTTTCATTTTAGCCAAATGACTAAAAACATGATATAAAGTTTTTTTATTTTTTTATAACTATTCAATAATTATATATTACTTGGGTTTTTGAATTACATTCAATAATTTAATACGCTTACATGTCTGTAGTAAAATTTAATGTTTTAAGTAATAAATTGATTTTAATATAATCAATCTTAATATGTTTACAGGTTACTTGTGAATACTGTTTAGTTGGTGGAGCTTGTATACCTCAGCGTGTGCACACAGTTGTTATATCTGTTCAACATTCAGAAAAAATTGCTCTTGAAGATTTAAGAACAGAAGTTATGTCTAAAGTTGTCAGGACAGTAATACCACCACAATATCTCGATGAAAAAACAATATTTCATATTAACCCATGTGGCCAATTTGTTATGGGTGGTCCTCAGGTACAGTTGTATTAATTTTTAAGGGTAAGACATCAAAATCTAAAATATTATTTCTTATTGCAGTGTGATGCTGGTTTAACTGGACGAAAGATAATTGTTGACACATATGGTGGTTGGGGTGCTCATGGTGGCGGAGCATTTTCTGGAAAAGATTTTACAAAGGTTGATCGTTCAGCAGCTTATGCAGCACGTTGGGTTGCCAAGTCATTAGTTAAGTCAGGTTTATGTAAAAGATGTCTAGTACAAGTAAGTTTTTTTAATATTAGTCAACTATAATTTTTTTATTTGCATTTCAAAATGTAATTTTTAATTTAGGTATCATATGCAATTGGAGTGGCAGAGCCAATTTCAATTACTCTTTTCCATTATGGCACATCTACTAAGACACAAAAAGAATTGCTGAAAATTGTAAATAGCAATTTTGATTTACGGCCTGGTAGGATTGTTAGGTAATAAAAAAATAATTTATTATAATTTTAATTGTTAATAAATAATTAAACTTCTTTTTTGATTTTTAGGGATTTAAATTTGAAAAATCCTATTTATCAAAAGACAAGTACATACGGACATTTTGGCCGTGACATATTTCCATGGGAAAAGCCAAAGAAATTGGTTTAGTGATAATTGGCAGACTTCTTACACTGTGTGTATGATTTAAAACAAACACGTAGAGTTATTTTAATAAATATTTTTTTAAACATTATTGAATCAAATGTTGCCACCCGAATGTAGTGTTAAGAAATATAACTGTAAACAACAAATTAGTATTCACACAAGAGTATCCCCCCTTTTTATTTTAAACTATTTTCATAAAATTCTCAAAACAACATTTTTTAAAAAATTATTGTAGTTTATTTAACAAAATTACACAATAATAATTAATGTTAAGTGAAAAGTGTCTGTGTTATGCCATGTAAATAAGATAAATGAAAACTTATATTTGACATAATTTTTTTGTCATCTATTCTCAGTATAAAAGAAACAAATGTACTATTGACACATCTTTTCTATTTTTACTATACAATTTTTTTTATTTTGATTTTAGCTAAGCATTTATCTTAGTATTCATCAAAATTGTAAATTAAAAACTTTTTTCTTGTCATAATTTCATTGAATAATATAATAATTAATGTATGTACTATTTATACTATGTATTTAATCGTATATAATATAAATTATATATAATGTGAAACCATAAATATTTTTTATCAAATAGTGATTTATTGTTTTCTTTTTATGGTTTGCATAATTAAATGTTATATAAGAATTGTAGCAATCATTAATAACTAATATTGTTCACAACTGTTTCTCTAAGAATTATTTCTCTTTTTTTGAATTGTCATTACATTTTTAAGAAGACTAGCATTTTTTTTTTTTTTAGTCTGTCATTTTTATTAATTTTTAATATTGTTGTCATACATGTGTTTTATTTTGCCTTTATTTTTTTGTTTGTTACAATTGTATTATTGATTCAAATTATAAGTGCTGCTGCCCTCCACTTAATTGGTTATTATTTTAACTTTCTTTAAGATATTTCAGATTATTTTTAAAGTAAACACCATCTTATTTTTAATTTAAATTTCATCGCCTATAACACATAGATAATCTTAAAATAAACTTATCAGTAAAATCCATAAAACATTTCCAGAAATAGACATTTTTTATTTTAAGTTAAGGCCTCACTTAAAATAATCATAGTACATTCTAATGAATACAAGTATTAAATTTGTTTTAATAAAGTTAATATATTTATTAAGCCTTGATTACTCCTGAGTTATCAAGACAATACGTATTAATAAATTAAAAAATAAATAAAAGATCATATATTTTTAATAATAAAAATTATATAATATATTTAGAAAAACTATAATCAAAAGAGTTAATTTAAATTGAAAAAAAAAAATTATAAATGTGTTGTTGTCAAAAGATTAAAAATAAAATATTAAATTAAAAAAATAATCACAATTGAGTTAATATAAATGGTAGAAAAATTAATGTTTAAAAATAAATCATTAATAAAAACTATTAATACAATATTCCATCCAAAGGAGAACTTTAACATACTAGGTCGATAAAAGTTGAAGTATTATAAGTCTGAACACATTTTACTCAAACACAATCTGAAACAAAAAGAAGAAAAAAATTTGGAGTATGTTAGAAGTTTTTTTTATTAATTCAAAACATTACTAATTAAAATAATTCAAAATAAATTAAAAATACTCATCAAAGAGACTATTTGATTTAGATAGAATTTTTCCACATTAGAATAAAAAAAAATCTGCCATAATCTTTTGGGAATATGTTTTTACCAAATATTGATTTTGAAAATTAAATAATCTCATAACCATATAAATAAGAATCTTAAAATATAATCAAGTAAAAAAATTAAATTAAATTTACCGCAAAAAAGACCACAAACTTTTGAGCCACAATTTGATAATTTTTTAATTGCATATCGATAAGACCTTCTTAGTGAGTTACCAAGAACCATAACAGGCTTCAAAATTCTTGTGTACCGACGATCTTTAGATTTAATTTTTTTAGGAACATTAACTTTATATTCTATTTCTGATGCTAAACAATTTGCATTTGTTTGTTGTAGGCTATCGGTTAAACAATGATCATCTACTTGTACTTCCTCTTTTGTCAAACATTGAATACTTTTTTGAATTATATTCTCTGATGATTTATTACCAGATAAATAATAATCAACTTTTTTTGGTGGGTCTAGATCACTACTATTCCACAATTCTTGTAAAATATTTTCTGGTATACTTTTAGGCGACCAAACCATTAAATACCTAGGTTGATCCAAATTTTCCATTGATATAGTAGATAATGTTTCATTTAACTTACACGGAGTAGGATACACTATAGTGATTATAACCTCTTTGCCAAATGTACTCCTACCCCAACACATAACTGACGTAGTGCTATTTAGAGTATTTAACAAACTTGACGATACTTTAATTTTGGGCATCAATTTTAATAGTTGAAGATTGGCATTGCACAAAGAACAACCGGAGAAAATGAATTTTTTGTTATTATTAATGTCATCCCAGACATTAAAGTTATCGCCTATCTGAAACATATTGCACTCTAACATGTTCAGTTCAGCTGGCCAAGGCTGTTGTTCTGAATCTTTTTTAATAGAATCCAAGAAAGCATTTGTTTGTTTTAACGATACAAACCTCAATATCATTCCCGGGGAATTAAACCTTGCGTTTACTAAAGCGTTTAATAAATTTTTGCATGGTATTTCATAATTTTCAGAAATTTTTTTCAGAACTACTATTGGTGGAACTTCATCCAAATCTTTTATTAGCTCTTTTATTTTGCATAATCCGTTTATTGACAGATAATTAGTAGGAATAAGTTTCGGATATTTCTTAAATATTGTTGTATTTGTTGTTGCCATAGAGTTCAACAAAACAATATCAATTTCTAATTCTTTAGAACATGAAGTCTTAATAATATCGCGTAAATAAAAATTGATTTTTAATTGCAAGTCTTGGGGCGAGAATTGGTCATAATTTTTCTGTCCGTTTGTTTTAACAGTATGATCATCTGTTAAATATTTCTTTACTGTTTTTAATTTTTTTTCCGTAACAACAACTTTCTTAGTTAATGATTTTTTCAGATCAATTTTCCAAGAACTTTTCAGTGAACTTACAGAAACATTCGTACACCAAATCATTAAATACCTTGGAGAGCCCAATTTACTTAATGACATGTCTGTTAAAGCCCTGCGACATAACTTCTTTGGGACCCTGTAAGCTAGAATAGTAATTACATGTTCTCCAAAGGTGCTCCTTTTCCAGCATTCCACTGATTCAGTGCTTTCCAAGGCATTTTCAACACTGGACGAAACTTTAATTTTACCCACAAGTTTCATCAAGTGTACATTTACTTCGTACAACGGGCATCCAAAAAAAACAAAGCGTTTGTTATTTTGGATATCATCGGAGACATCAATATGATGACCAATGTTGAACAAAGCAAAGTCAAATCTTTTATATGCGTCCGATAATGAAGTAACGTCGTTCTTTTTTAAATTGTACTGCAAAAACAATTCAGCCAACTCAGTCGGTATTAGTTTTAAGACAGTTTCGGGCGAATTGAATCTCATGTTTATTAAGTCATTGAATAAACTTTTCCAAGGTATTGTACAACGTTCTGACGCTCCTAACTTCTCAACCACAATAGAGATTGGTGGAATTTTATCCAAATCTTCTAATAGGTCTTCCATGTTAAGCGATCCGATGTCTGATGTAGTATAACTTGAAGGAAACAAATTAGGATACTTCGAGTAAAATGAGCCATTATTGACAAGCGTCGACTTAAGTAAGCTAATATCGATTTCGAGTTCTCTCCAACAAGAAGTCTGAAGAATTCTCCGTAAGCAAAAATCATTTATAGACATTTTATACTTATTAGAAAATCACTTTTAAAGTTAACAAAAATATTACTTTTCAGCGTTTTAGAAAAAGTAGTAACGAGTTCAACTGTAAACAAACTTTTATACTGAATTTTTGTTTATAGTGCCTAGCACCAAAATATTAAATTTAGCCAACGTTGTGAACAATTTTAAAATAAATAAAAAAATGTAGTATAATTTAAAATCGATTAATTAAAAAGTCTTGGACTAATATCAATAAATTTACAAGTAACAGTAATGAGATGCCTAAAAAAATTTTAGTAGGTCTTATTAAAAATAATATTTTTCAGCATTCATAAATATAATAGATAAATTAAATTATTGGATAAAAAAAATAGTTAAATATTCAATAATTATGGGCTATAGTCATTTTCACTACCCGAGATTTTTTCAGGATTATAAATTTCGAATTTTTTTTCAAATCTAGCGATAAAAAGAAAAATAGAAACTTGTACATTTGGAGATTAACAAAATACAGCTTGACAATTAAGTTTTGATTCATTTCAATAAAAAAATACGAATAAATATTTTTTAAATATTATTTATAAAACTTGTCTGTTGTCTATATAAAAATTTTTAATTAGATTACTTCAAAACAGATTTGTAATTCATTATTTTGTAATTTTTTATACATTTTCACTCTCATTTATCTCGTTTGTTATTGTTGTCCGTGTGCTATAAGATATAATATGGTACAGATTTGACTATGTTGAATTTATTTAAATTATTACGAAGCCGTAAAAATTTTGCATGATACAAGTATAAGTTATCATTTCTTACCTATTGATATTTACACGTATGAAAAATGTTCACCACTCTCTCAAAGTCGTATCTTGAAATATTTAAAATCACGTCAACGTAATTATTTTTGTTATAAATGAACTGAATATCACAGTTCCTCTTATGTCCTTGGTAAGAATCTTTTGAAAAAAACTGAAATTTCTTTTCCGCGTCATTTTATTAAAAATGTGCAATATTGAAATATCGTACCAGGAATGCATGAGAAATAGTGCAGAATTTACATTATTATTATATTTTAAGTCGGTATCGGTATTTTGTGACAAATATGAACATTTAGTACCAGGAATTCATAAAGGCTAATGTGTGCGATTAAACGTCTTGGTGTACAGCGTCTCGCAAGCGATTATCAGGTTGTGACCAATTCTATTACAAATAATGATGCTCCTCTCGATGATTCTCATGAATTCCTGGTGCTAAAATTTTATATTTCGCCTGAAATTATGTGTTGTCAAGTTTCAAGACAGTACGACCGCTGAAAATGACGTACGGCGAAGAATAACACGAGAAAAAGTTGGGTGGTGCAGGATTTGATCAGTCGCATTAGGCGTCGCTTCGAATTGTCTGATCGTGCCGTGAACTTTATTCACTTGTTTCATATTTTCCGTTTTAGTAGTGCGCTGTGCACTACTAGTATGTAGCACTTATATCCCAACTACTGGTTGATATAATAATTAATTAATACAATTATTTTAATTTCATACACAGGTTGGATTAGAGTATACTGAAATTTCAGGAACCCGTATTTAAAGGCTTATAAGAGTAAATTTTTATTTCTTTTTTACTTAATTGCGAGAAAATGAGCTAAAAAATATAATCAATTATTTATGGAGACCTGACGACCGTAATTAAATTGCTTTCTCCTTTTATATGCACTTGGTTATTGAGGCGATTGATGCAACTAGATTAAAATTTAGGTGGTGCTGCCGTATTTTTACAGTACTTTATATATAACAACTTTATTTTTCAAACAAATTAGGCACACAGTGAACATTTTTAAAGGTGATAATCGACAGTAAGAAAAACTAAAATTCTTGTTTGCGTTTTGACGATTTATAGAATTTTATAACTGTTAGTAAATAATATAAAGTCAGTGGCTCAATTGGGTATCTAGAAGATATTTCCGGAAATAGTCACATTTTATTATTTTTGATCAAAATTAATTTTTTTAAGAACCTGTTTACAGTAGTTAAAAAAAACTTTAGATAGTGATGTATTATTTTTTTAGAGGGGTATTGTTTCTGGGTGTTTCATATTCATGCCTGTATACTAACAATATAATTAATTCAATTGATTGTGTTTTCTATTAACTGTAACCAGTAACATAATCTGAAATTCTTATTTTATAAATATTATTTTATTACTGTAATAAAGGACAAAGAAAAACGAATACAACAGTATTTATTAAACGAAAAATTATTTGTACTTTTTGGGCTTTATCTATATTCATTTTGAGTTTTTTCACTGTTATTATACACCATAGGATAGTGAAATGTCTAATCTTAATATTTATAAAAAAAACTTGTGTAAGGATAAAAAGAAATAAATAAGAATTAATTTTCGTCAATATTTTTTTTTATTAATAAGTATAAATTTACAGTAACTTATCGTTTTCCACCAACACGAGGAGCAGCCTTTTGCTGTACAGATTTACTTTGTACTTTCTTAGGTTGTTTCTAAAATAAACGAACAATTAGTTAATAAAAATATAAAATTGGTTTAAAGATTTAGAATCATGCATACCTTCATTTTAGTAGGGGGTGGCGGAGGAGGCTTTTTAGCTGCTTTGGCAGCTTTTTTTTGATCCTTAGCTGCTCTAAAAACATATATTTTTATAAAATACATTTTTTAAAAATTATATTGCACTCTCAATATAATTAGGGTATACCTCAATAAAACAAAGTCATTTTGAGATATAATTTTTTAATCTCCTATAATAATTACATTGTGTTACTTTTTTTTACTCTATTTATAATAAATTCATGATAATTTATAGAGATACATCTTGCACCATTAGATAGAGAATTATAAACTAAATTTAACTTAAATTACATATTTTTTTAAAGCTCTAACTGTACTGGAAAATTTTTAATATAATCAATACATTAATACATAGTAAGTAATTATTATTCTTCTCGACAGGTACTTTTAATTAACCATTTTAACTTTGATTAATCAGTGTTTTAAAGAAGTTCATAATGTCTCCTTGCCAGTACGTTTAGATTCAATTATAGATAAACCCAAACACGATAAACAAGGAATAGTAGAAAACAAAATCAATATAATTTTTGAGTAGTATTAATTCTTCATAAATGGTTTCTCATCAGCTTATATATCAAGATAGCAAATACTCGAATTAATAAATAATAATCATAAGAATTCTACTCATAATACAAGTAATGCAAAAACTTTAATATATTACCTACAAAATAATGGATGTATAATTAATATTGTTTCTATAGTTAAATATTGAAAATCAAAAATTTTAGACTTTTTTTGATATGATAATATAATATTTAAAGAAACTCATTTTGTTGTTATCTAATTAATAATAACATATTTTCTTCTTCCTTTAACAAAATTAAATAAAATAAGATAACACTGTTTAAAAATGGCCATACATAACATAATAAAATTAATTTATGCGTTTTAAGTTAAGCATGTATACTAAATATATAATAATTAACATGTTTCTTCAGTAAATTAAGTTAATAATCACTATACAATATTCAGTAGTAGCAAATACTTTTATAAGCATCATTGAAACCATTGGTTGTATAAATTTTTAAAAAAATTGTAATAAACTCATAATTATTTTTTACATCAATTTCTTAATTCAAGATAGCAAATACTCGATATTTAAATAATAACAGGTTTGTTGAATAGTTATTATTTAATATTATTATTGCTATGATAACTGATAAGTGTATTCTCAGAAAGTAATTTCCAATCATCAAATTCAATAGTAGCAAATACTCTTTATATACATCATGGTTATACTTATCAGAATTATCTAAAATACCTAATATCATAACTCTTAATTAGTTTAAAAATTTTAATTAATTTGTTTCAACCATAAATATAATATGGGGAAATAAAAAAACAATATATTTATTAATACCCTACAAAATTCTAAATTTTAGGCCGTTATAAAGTAAAAATAATAATAATTACTTAAATTTATTTTATAGATCCTCATTAATTATTTCTCATCAAATATACTTCAAGATAGCAAATACTCGATTACAAAAATAATAATCATAGGAGTTATAATAAAGTAAAATACAATTTTTCAAACAATTGAGAAGCCATCATAGTAAATTTTATCTACATTTTTTTTTCAAGATAGCAAATACTCGATTAATAATACATAATCACAGGCAAATTTTGTCATTATATCCCTATCCTTTATCCCAATTATTTAGGGTTGGCTCTACCTTACAATTTGATAGGATTATATACTAATTGTTGACCTAACACAACCTCATTAAAGTTGAGGCAATAAGAGGACTAGATACGTGTCACTGTTGAAGCTCCCGTATGGTTACCCATCCAGGACTTACAACAATCCGTGCAGCTAAACACCAGTCATATGACAGTAACTGAATGATTTACTTTGCCACATTACATCCCTAACTATAAGCAATTTTATTTATAATAAAATATTAGACTATTAATAATGCAGAATTTAAATGAAAAAGGTGTGCATCTCGACAGGTACTATCATAATACTATTGAATAAGATACATGAGTGTTTAAAAGAGGTTTAAATTTTATTTACCCTCACCAGTACGTTTAAATTTAATAATAAATCCAAGCACGATAAAAAAGGGATATAAAGCAATATTTTGATAATTTTTTTAAAGATTTGTTTTTCTCGACAGGTACTTCTGATTAACCATTTTTCATTTGATTAATGAGTGTTTAAAAGAAATTATAATTTACCCTTGCCAGTACGTTCAGATATAACTATAAATCCAAACACGATAAACAAGGGATCTATCATGGCTTTTTTAATATTGAGAAGGCTATGGAACAATAATCACTGAATATATTATAATTAAAATTAATACATTTAATAGGATAAGAGATATATTTGTCATCATTGAATAAATAAGTTAGAAAATCATTCATTTACATTTAAATACTCTAGAATTATACTAGTAATTATTATATTTAAACATAAATAAATGAATAAAAATTTCATTACCTATAAAAATCAAGAATTTTAACCATAATATGGAAAGGCTATATACTTTATGATTAAATAATAATTAATAGAAATAAAAGATATCTAATCTATTTTTTTATACCTTAACAGTTAATTCAACATTCAATACAAAACAAATATATACTTACTTAATAGCAAGATCTCTTTGAGCCTTTCTCATTTCTGGTTTCATATTTCTCTTTGCCATAATGTCGGTAAGTGATGCGCCAACAATAGCACGTTGAAATTTTTGTGTTCTCCTAGTCTTCTTTTTGGAAGTTTCTTCTTCTTGACCTTTACGGTGCTTGCGTCTGTAGCATAAAATAATTACTCATAAAGTATAGTTTAAGACTCAATAATTAATAGTGACATACCTGTACAATATTGTCCATGTTACTTTTCGGGGATTCCTCTTCATTAAGTGAGCACGTTCACATTTTGAATTGAGGAAAGTGAAAGTCTAATAATCAAACAAAAATACTATCAAGTTATAAAGTGAAATACGAAACTACATCCATAAGTTTGAAAAAATGATGAGGGTAGTTGAAAATAAGTACGTCAAATATCCAATATTACCTTTCCGTCAGCCTTCACCATGGTTTTCCCATGTCCCGGGTAAATTTTGTACCCACTGTACGCACACAATCCGATCCTTTAAATATAGAAAATGCATTAATATCTAAGTAAATGACGTTTTATGGCGATAATTTTACACAAAATATTTTAGTTGTGAGAATTATTTGGGGATAATTTATAAAAGATAACATTATGTTAAAATAAAACTAATTAATTAATATGTGATGAAATATAAAGTACAGCGGATTGAAAAGGATAAACTTACTTCATCTTGAATAATGTCTTCAATCCCTACACTCGGAATGAAAAGAATTTATCATAAATTGTATGGTGAAATAACATGCTATCAATAAGAAGTTAGCATCGTCAATCGTTGGTTTGTGTATGTGCTTTGCAGTTTGTGCTATTAACAGTGGTACCAGCTAAATAATACATTAAAACGATGATAGCTCTTTTTAATAATTGGATAAAATTCAATAATCAGAATACCATCAATCAGGGTCATTAAAATATTAAATTATTAGATGTAATTAAAATTGTATAATTATTCATTTGACAAAAAATGTAATAATATTAATTGAGAATTACAACAGAATTATTTTGTTATTATTATTCATCATATTTAATCATATCAATCCATACTTAGTATTGAATGTACACTCAATACTAGTGTCTTACTTAACTTTGCTTTTTATAAATTCTCTATAAAATAATTATTTATTAAAATAAAATTTTTAACAAAACTTAAAGTATAATTGAAATAACTTTGTTAATACTGTAGTTTTAGTTCATAACTATAGTTACTTATTCATTATAATTATACTCCAGGCTTTGTTAAACATTTTTATAAATAATTTATTTATATATAAAAGTGTATAAAATTTTAAAACTCAATAAATTTATCATTATTATTATATTTTAATTAAGATGTAAAAATTAAAATTCAGAAGGTAATTTTACTTTTAACTATTAATTCAGTTTCTATAATAGTAACCAATATAGATGGAGGCTCAGAACCTGCTAGTATAGAAAAAAACTATCTTAAGTGATTTTCAAGGCTCTGAGAGCACTCTGTAATGATCAGGTGAATATAAAGCTTGTCCTTGAATGTAGGAAAACTTTAAAATCACTATTGAGGTTTAACAAAGTTACACTAGTATGGGTACCAAAACAATGGTATCACTGGAAATGAAAAAGCTGACTTTCTAGCTAGGAAAAAAGCAGAGAACACCTACATTGGGCCAGAACTTATGGTGGGACTCACTGAGCAATCGCTCAAAGTGCTACCCAAAAATTGGTGCAGAAAATAACACAGGAAAATATAGAAGTACTTGGTAGTATCTAGACCAGTGTTTCTCAACCTTTTTTATGTTACTGCCCCCTTGAGTAGGAATCAATTCTTTAACAATCCCTATGTGAAAATTCTATAATTAATGTTATGGGCTGAGAGTTACGCAATGGGAATCTCAGAATCACCATTGTGCAAGAAGTGTGGAGTAAAAGAGGAAGACTCATTTTATATAATGTGAAACCTTATCTACATTAAAATAAAACTACTTGAGTGAACCTTTTCCTGATAAAGTAGATATCAAAAACCTAAGACCCAGAGAGATACTTAATTTTGTCAGTAAGACAGGATTCTTTGGACATAAGCAGGAGGTGACTTGATAGTCCACCCTTTATACAATGTAATAATACTTAAGTATGTAAGCCGACATTTTGGCATGAGGTGAGCATAATGGACTAAAAGGTCTGGATGCATGGTCATCATATCCACTTCACTAATAACTAAAACTAATTCAATTAATTTACTATATACAGCTTAAGTCTACGCTTAGAAAAATATTTCAAATTGTTATTATCAATTATAAATTAAGAATTTAGGATTGTTGAAAATTAAATCACAAAAATTAGTACCATAAAATGTTTTTATTTAATAACAATAATTAGGTTTATTTGATAACTTATTACTTAATCAATAGAAGAATCATCATCACTGCATGAATCAGATTCTTTAGGATGATTTTCATTTTCATTCATTCCACTTTGACATTTTGCAGCCCATTCACTTCTAGGAATTGCACATTTAGGACAAATACCAAGACTACTTGAACAATGATAGCAAGATGTATGATAAGGCTCTTTTACACATTTATTGTGGCATTTATTACAATTTTTCGGAGCTTTTAACATTTTATACTTTTTGTATTTAATTTTCCATTCCAAAATATCTTTGCAACGTGGGCAGACATTTGTGATTTGAATAGAATTCAAACGTTTTGTCCGAATATTAGTATCATGTAAATTATTTTTGAATGCAAAACGATTTTGATGTTTTTGTGGACGATTTCGTGTTGCATTTCCCTTTTGACTGCTCATTTTTACTAAAATCTGCATATATAAAAAATATTGTGAATTATGTAACGATAAAAAAAATCATATGCTTACTTTAAAGGAATAAAAAAACACTTGCTTAAAAATGCTTACTTATAAAATTGAATGTTTCTTTTTAATTCAAAATATCCCATGATTATCTTATCAAATTGTTTATCAATCAAGCATGGTCTCTTTTGGTTTATCACGTTACCACGTGATAAAATTATAATATATTAATTATTTTTAATTTTATTTGCAAATTTCTCAAAATGGGTAAATCTTCTAAAGATAAACGCGATATTTACTATCGATTAGCTAAAGAACAAGGATGGCGAGCTCGTAGTGCATTCAAATTGATGCAAATTGATGAGCAATTTAATATTTTTGATGGTGTTACGCGTGTGGTTGATTTATGTGCAGCACCTGGAAGTTGGAGTCAAGTTTTAAGCAAAACTCTTTACTCAAATAAGTCTGAAAGTGAAAAAAAAGACGTAAAAATCGTTGCTGTGGATTTGCAATCAATGGCACCTCTTCCTGGTGTGATTCAGTTGAAAGGTGACATTACCAAAGAAAGTACAGCCAGTGAAATTTTGTCACAATTTGGTGATGAACTTGTAGAATTGGTAGTATTCGATGGAGCTCCAGATGTGACAGGCCTTCATGATCTCGATGAATATATTCAAGCACAGTTGTTGTTAGCTGCTTTGAATATAACTACATATTTACTGAAACCTCAAGGAACCTTTGTTGGTAAAATATTTCGTGGTAAAGATGTCTCTATTTTAATAGCTCAATTAGAAATATTTTTTGAAGATGTAACCATTGCTAAACCTTGTAGTTCTCGTAATTCAAGTATTGAATCTTTTGTAGTATGTAGTAAATTTCAATTACCAGAGGGATACAAACCAACAATGGCAAATCCCCTCATGACCAATGACTCTAGAACATGGAGTGAAATGGATGTTCATCCAGTTATAACTCCTTTTATAGCATGTGGTAGTTTAAGTGGCTTTGATGCTGACAAAACTTATGATCTAGAATTAGATGGTTTGGAATATATTCAGAGAGACCCAGTTCAAGGTCCAATTTCACCTCCATATGAGAAATCAAAACCATTAATTACTACCAAAGGTAAAAGTATATTACAATCAGAAGAAACTGAGACAGCGAATTCTATGGAACAACTTAATTTAAATTAAAGAGGTACCTAGATCTATATTGAGTTTTATTTCTTAATATTCTGTATATATTAGAATATTTAATATATAACTATTTCTAAATACTGTATATTTCTTTATGAACTGAAGTATTTTTCATTAAAATATTACATTGTATATATATATATATATACAATTTCAATGCTATAAAAATATCTGTTTCTCTTGAAGCTAATTTTATATTTTATATTGTTTGTAACAATTGACCTGTTTACTTACTGAACCCTCTGCATAATATGTACATCAATGTTTTGGTTATATAATTATTGTTTTTTTTATACAATTTTTAAAAATATGAAGGGTTTCAATTGTTATGATTTATTGTAACTAAAATTAATTTTAGTGAAACTCAGAAAAAAATTGAAATCATATTCAATAGTTTTATTTGTAAATCTATGAAAGTTGTTGTTGAAAATCATCAATGGCTTAAATTTTTTCCTTTAAACTTGCAATACAAATATAAAAACTGTTTTTAACAAAATTATTACAGAGCTTTTTATACCATTTTCTATTAAGTAATGATATATTTTTTAACAATTTATTAAATATAATAATTGTATAAAAATGTTTTTTATATACTTAGTCATGTAACTCTAGGTATAATTGAAACTGATAGTTTAGAACTTTGATATTTTGGCAGTTTATGAAAAATAATATAGTAGTAAAACCAAATGAAATGACAGTGGAAATATAACAGTAGTAATTTTAAGAGAAATTAGGAATTTTTTTCACAAAGAAAATGCATATTCAGAAATATTAAAAATTTTGATTCCTACAAGTAATTAAAAAGAAAATGTAGTGTCAAAGTATTACTACTAAAGTCATTAGTAAGTTACTTATAGATCCAAATATTTATTTTTTATAATTGATCATTTTATAGTTATACTTTTGATACATCATTTAGTGTATTTTATAAATAAAAAAAAAATAATTATCATGTCATGAATAATTGTAACTTATATTTAAAAAATTTTAAATTAATTTTCCTGATATAAAATTAAATATTGTGTGATAGTTTATTAGGTATAAAAGCTAATAATAAAATTAAAAAACTGAGGAGAATTATAACACAAAAATAGCATGTTTTTGAATACATTAGCCATTTTCACCGTGAAGAAAAACTAAAGTTAGACATTTTTATTGTACATTTTTAAGTTTATTACATAAGCTTTAATTAAAGATAAATATAAAAGTGTCAGTATTTTTGGTACATTTGAAAATATTAAGTAGAAAAAGGTCCATTTTCTATTTTCATGTTAAATTTTTAACACCTACTGAATAAAGAGAAAAGGTCAGATTTACAAAAAAAGAAACCATCATAGTGGGGACGTAGCTTAGTTGGGTCCAATATATATGATATCTGGCAGTGATTAAAATCACAATCATAAAAAAAGCTTCGATCCTATCTGTCAATAGTTTTTAATTTAAAAAAATTGTTGTTCAAAAAGCAACATGATCTCCTATTTGGTTTTTTTCATATTAAAGTATATTACATCAGATTAAAATTAAAATTATATATATAAAAGTGATAGTATTTCCAGAACAATTTTAAAAATTAAGTTGAAAAAGTTCTCTTTTTTATATGCATTTTTATGTTATGAACCCCCCTATATAAAGGGTAATGGTCCAATTTTTAAATAAATTATGTCGAATGAAAGAAATATATAAATAGTGTTTCTCATAAAAAAATTGTATTGATCAATACAGTTTTCAAAAAATTATAGAATTATATAGTTAAAAATGTAAAATGTAAAATTGAGAATTTTAACACAAAAATAGCTATGGTAGCCATCATATTCACTGTGAAGACAAAATAAAGTCCGAAATTTTTTTTTTTCTGTAATAATGTAAATTATATTAGCTTTAATTTAAGATATATATATGTGTCAGTATTTCCAGAACATTTTCAAAAGTTAAGCAGAAAAAGTAAACTTTTTTAAAAAAGTTGTCACTTTGAACCCCCCTTGTGGACAAGAAAAGTTCAATTTATAAAGAAAAATATACAAAATGATAGGTAAATACCTCATGTGACTATAAAAAAAAATTATATTGATTTAATTATTTTTAAAATAGTTATGGCAGTTTTAGGTAAAAAAAATTAGCAATTTTTAAAATTGTAAGATTTTTGGAGATTTCCTCCATTTACAGGGAACAAGAGACATTTATTCAATTTTTGAGGGCAATGTCTTCGACTAGATACAATTTGCGATCTTTTGATGTATTGTTGAACGAAATTGTTTCGGTGAGAGCTGAGAAAGAGTGGTGACACACAATACTTTAATTAGCTTCTTTTCATAATTTTAAAATCATATAATTTTACTATCTAGTTTTTGAATAAGCAAATATTCAAGGAAGTCTATGAGGTCTGGACACCATCTTCGAAAATGTTCATAACATTTTATAAATAAATATAATGAGGCATAAAACATTAACATATAAAATAATATGAAATATATTAAATAATATTTTTGGCATTTATAAAAAAAAAATTATATTAATATTTCACATAATTACATCAGTTAATAATAAATATATAAAATACAAAAATTTTAATATTTGTCAGAATTTAACAAAGAAAATGAAAAATCATATATATACACCCATCTAGATTATTAATGGTTTATCTATAAGATAACTAGTCATTAATTAAAATAAATTCATAAACAATTTTAATTTTAATAATAAGAATTTTTTTATTAAAATTTATCCGCTAAAATGCAATAAGATTAGTTATATGTATTTATAACTTGGTAACAAATAAGAAAAAGTATACAACAGATTGACTAATAAGTAAAATGAAAACATTTATATTTTAAGCAAGTCTAAATTGAAAGTTATACAAAATTACAAGAGTTTTTTAAACAAATTTTTTTATATAAATTTTATTCATTTTATGAATAAAGAATTTTTATAAAATAATCATTCTGTTTAAATTAAAATAGCAACATTATATTTTGATTTTTTAGTTAAACAATTTATATTAAGCTAATGCCCAAATATAATAAATTATTTTAGTCACCCAGATTCTTTAATCACTTCAATTATAAGATATCTGGGCGCAGCCTTTGGATTCAGCTGATCCGGCTAAAAAACTGTCAGTCCTTGATATTTTGTACTAAATGCCCCCCGAAACTATTTTGTCCATTGGCAAGTTCACCATTTCTTTTTATTCTATTGACATTTCCGAAACACACAGATGAACTTGAGCTGACTCCAGAATCTGATGACTTTTCACTGGATGTGCATGAATTTAATTTAGCAGTTGCATTAGTGCTTGATGACTCTGCAAACTGCTGTCGCTCTTTAACACTTTTTTGTGTTTTTTTATTGTACTCTGGTGAAGATAATAATGTTGTGTCTTCATTGTCATTATTGAGGTGCTGTTTGGTACTGAGCGTTGTTTTGGAACTTTTTGATGTCAATCGATTGCAACTTTCTTGTGAACCATCACAGCTTGGGTCAGTTCTATTTTCCTCGGTGCTACTGGAATCATCCTCTGGAGCTAAATACACAATACAAAAATATTAGTTTTATGAAATACTTGTTACTTAATATAATACTTACATTGATAATCGTGCATAACTTGTACAGCCGCTAATATTTTAGCCCTTTGTTCAGGTGCCATTATACCCATATAGTCAAGATCAACTTCTCGAATTTCACAAAATGATTGAAGATCACCAAAGCCATTCATTGCAAATACAGACATTTGTTCCTACAGTTCCAAAAATTAAGTTTATATTATTTGTAAAAAGTATTTTGATATTTCATCAAAAATTACCTCCATTCCTATAGTTCGTAACAGTTGAAGTAATGATTTTGGCCTATGTTTAACAGTTTTTTGTTGCTTGTTTTTTTCCAGTCCATTACTTTCATTAACTAATGGTTGAACATTAACAAATTTAAATGTACCTATTCTATCACAGCCTTTAACCATACCTTTCCAAATCCCACTGGCATTCATAGTAGTTACTAGTATAACATCTCCTTTCTATAGTTAAGATTCAATACATAATTTTTTGTAAAACAGGTTTTTAAGGTTAAAACTTACATTATATATTAAGGCATCTCTGTCATAGGAATTTGGACTACTATTGGTAATAGCTCTAGCTAATGCCAGCACCTGAACATTTTGAGTTCCGTCACAAGAACTAGGGGATTCTTCAGAACTTTGTGAAGCTCCACCCATTAATGCTTGTATACCTTTTTTTAAAATCATAAATAGTAATAAGTCACATTCACAGTTTAGTAAATAATATTTTAGCAAAAAATAATTACTGGAAGTACTAGGTAAACTTTCAGCTGAACTGTGATGGCGATGTGATCTTTGATTTTGTTTATAGTGTTTGTTTGATATTTTTGATCGATGTTGTCGTTTACTATGACGCTAAAATTGCAAAAAAATTTGTTTGTATTTATTAAAAATAAAACTACAATTGAAAAATAAAAAATGCTCATAATTATAAGATATTTACCCTTACTGATGCCAACTGAATTGAATCATCTTGATCAGCATAATCTGAACTGTGACTAGGCGACACTAATTTATTTAACCCCTAAAATGTAAAAAATAAAAATTTTAGTATAACAGGATAAATCGTTTTGGTAAAGTTATTAATGTTATAATTACATTTGTTCTGAGTCTTTGGTAAAGTTCTGAATCATAATCTGATCGGTTAGTTTCAACAGATAGTGACGACATTCTTGAGCTAAGAAAAAAAAAATATATATACATAAAATTTGGTAGTTCAGTACAATAAAAAATCAGTGTTCTATCAGAATTCAAAAAATAGTAATGTTTTTTCAGAGAATTAAAACCATAAAAATATTATCACACTGATGCCTTAAAAAAGGATATTTTTAAATAAAGTATAAAGTTATATTAATCGTTATAAAATCGAGTCAGAACATTTTTAATTTAATCTGCTGACAAAAGAACATTTTAAAAACACTACAGGGGTAAATTTTAAATTCAAATTCATAATCATTAACATAAAAAAATAATTTAATTAGAAATAATAACATTCTATAATAAAGTTTATTTTAATTTTACAATATAAAAAATTAATCTAAGTTATTTGTGGATTATTACAATTAATTTTTGTTTACGTATTATAACGTTTTTCACATCCGTCGTTACTTTAAAAAGTAATTAAAACATATAGCATGTTATTAAACGAATAATGCTTTTGAAAAATGGGTAGGTAGAAATTAAATTCTTATTTTTGTGTATTTACTTAAAATTTAGTGTTGCGTTTGGCAAAAAATAAATTACTTTCATTTTTATTATTAAGAGAGTAGTGTAATATTTAACAATTGTAACGTTGAAAATTCATCACTTTGTAGTTTTGAAAATGTATTTCAAAGGCTATTTTTTTGGGTTAATATTTACATATTAATAACATTTAAATAGTATTAAAATGATAAGATGATATTATTTTAATAGTACAATTTAATGTCCAAAAACTGTTCTTAACTGAATAACACTATTTATTGTAAGGTATTTAAAATTGAAATTTTATTAGAGATGTGAGATATTTCGTCAGAGTTTAATTAATAATATAGTTTGACATCGAAAGACTGTGAAACTTAACATGTTTTAACTGAAATATCATTATATTAATTTAATAAAATAAAAAATAAAAAATGAAAGTGCTCATAGTATACATAGTATTGACTAGAAATTGTTAATATTTCTTATTTAGAGTTAACAAATAACATGTAATTTTTATTTGGGAACAGGCGCGGACTGACGAAAAAGGTATCCTACACAGTTTTAAAGACAAATAACAAAAAATATGACGATTATAGTAAATTTACAATTACAGATCTACACCTTTATCGAAGGATAACAACTTTGTATTAAATATTCACAATAATTTTAAGTAGATTAAATAGGAAATATTCAATGGAAATTCAACAATAATATTGGGATATGGAATTTTGTAGCATCCCAGCTAATAACAAATTTATATCTGTTTAGTTTAAATATTAAAGAGTGACAAAAAAGTCAAGTAAATTTAGTAATTTTATTACCAAACGCTCTGGATATCTGACGCCGCATAGTCTCCACTCTCTCTGTTTTGTCTCTTCAATGGAATGATAGTAGGCTGTCCGGTACCGGAAGCAGGTAACAAAAGACCTGTCTGTCGTTGACCATAGCCCGACAACGAAATGTCACCAGCACTTGGCAAAGAGATAATTGATCCAGAATTTTTAGTCTTTGGTGGTTTGTGTTTGGTGTATCCATAATACACTCTACAAAAATAATATTAAAATTAATATCAATCACAAAAATAAAAAAACATACAAATATAATATGCAAACATATTAGTGTTTGAAAATTATGGTATTAATAAATTACAAATATATATAAAAAAATGTATTCAATCAAAAAAATCCAATACAAAATAACAACACAGTATACATTTGTAAACTAATTATGATTCATTATAAGCTTTGTAATTGTATAGATCATACGATATTAAGTAAAAAAAAAAATTATTAAAAAAGTATTTAAATAATGATCTTAACAGGTTTGCATTAAACAAAATTTTATGCTGTTTTACACATTTATATATTTTATCAATAATGTATGCGTTTTGTAAAAATCATATTTATTCTATTTATTTTTCTCAATTTATAAATTCCTAATTTCCAAAACTATTGGATGGTTGTTAATGTTATTTAATGATAAAAATATCGTAAGCCTTAATACACAATGTCGGAATAAACGTACACGATAACTGTGATGGATAATGTTCTATAAGAAAATTCTAAGTAACGGGGATCCTTTTTTTTGTATTGTTATTTTGAATAAATAATTTATAAGAACATTTAATCTTTATAAATGACGTCGTTATAAGTTTATTTACAAAAATACTGACGTTCTTGGGTTATTTATTCATAGATTATCTATTTTCATTAAAAATACTTTACACAACTCAAAGTAAAACTGCCCAAGGAGTTTTACTTGAAACCTCCACGTGCTGCGCCTATATTTTATGTCATATGATGCCTTATTCGTTAAATAGCGGGTTTAATTTTATTAAAGGATAAACGAGTTTGTCGTCAACAAGTATTTATTTACTAAGTAAACTGTATGACTTTTCAAAGTTAACTGCGAGGGCGACAACTCCGCAGAAAAGTTTGTCTCTCGTCACGCGAATTAAGGACTAACCCAATTGTTTAACTAGAACACAGTTTGTCAATTAGTGGCATATCGATTTTTTAATTAAAAATGTAGTAAATAGTTCATGCATGTTCAAAAAAATAAATTAATAATAATAAAAACCTTATATTGAATACGATAGTAATTAACAATAAAATATTCTTATATGCTGTAGAAAAACGCATAGCTCTTTCACGTCAAAGGGGACGTCGTTTTTTTACACGTTTAATATAGTTTGCAAGATATGTTGGCATAAACGAATGAGTCGTAGTATTAGAAAAATATATATGAAAAAAATATTATACGAAAACAGCCATGGATACCAAATGTACAAGTAAAATACATCGACCTATTAACTAATGGATTTCTCTTATACCACCCTTGACCACAATTCAAATTCAGACAACGCCCAGCAACACAGAAAGGGAAAAACATATAATTTTCAAAAAACTATACATTTACTCTTTCAATCCAAAATTCTCAATTGGCTTAAAAAAAAAAAACATCTTTTTTTCTTTTATATTGTATTTTGCCAGAGAAAATAATTCTTGTTAAATATTTGAAAATGACTATTGTACATTATAATCAAGCTTACCTATTATTGGCGTGTTCCATGAGGAGCTCTTCGGGGTCGGATTCGTAGGGAGGTTCATCGTACCAATGTCGCAACATTTCGTCGTCATACATGTAGGTTTCATCACCTCCTGCACTTACAATATTGACACCATTTCTCATTTTGTGTGTACCGTTGCCATACCTCATTAAACCGTGTCTGATTTCCCTAAGTATGTCTTCGTGTTCCCGGTCGAACCGTTCCTTCTTTACCATGGCTTCTTCGACTTTCAGCTGCAAAAAAAATAAAAATAAAAGCTTGTAAAGTTTTGCACACGGGGGTCGATCAAACGTCATGTTAAACCGCAACAATGCGATCGTAAAGAGTATTATACATGTTATTACATAACGCAAACCATATACGTGCCGCAGTCACGGTACACGTACAGTTCTGCACACCGAGTTTTTATTATTTCTATTTTACGAGCCCCCCCGACCTCGCGGTTAAACTTTCTGCTGGCTCGAGGAGACCGGTCGGACTGTTCCAGACGTCGCGCGGCGAGACGGCATACGAACCCCTACTGAGATCACCCCTTCGTACCAGCACAACCCAAGAACAACAAGATTAATGTTGCTCCAGCCAGCAGTAACGTAACCTTAATGGGTCCCTACGGTCGTGAAACGCGAGCACACATTAACACACACACACATATCGGCACAGCCTGGGAAACAGTCGACAGTAGGCCACAAAACTCATAACCGCGCGGAGGAATGAGAAAGAGAAACGAGAAGAGGGTTACGGGGCAAAAGCAAAAAAAAAAAAAAAGAGGGTGTAAAAAAAAAAAAGTTACACATTTGGTTTCTTTCACGCAGCTATTGCTGCACCGACTTGCCGCTGAAAAGTTTTTAATGACGCTTTAGCTTTACGCGCGCCTAATCTGACTTTAATGTTGTTTATTAGAGAACTGGGCACCGGTGTATATATATACATACGCACACGCACAATCGGACAATGGCTACACTCTGTATGTGTGTAATAAATAAGTACAATATTTATAAGCGTAATGATAGAACGTATTATTTGTAGAGGAAATCAGTAGGTAACCGGCGAGTAAAAATGTACATAAAGGAACCGACCAAAAATAACCAAGTGGCCAATAAAAGTTAATGCATACATTTTCCCGTTGATGTATAAAAAATACTGTCTAAAAATATAACTGACATAAGCACACAAACGGGAGCTTTAAATAACAATTTTACATTAAGGTTTGCCGATAAAAGAAAGAAATAAATAAATACCTTTACGGTATAGTATGCTGAGTAAATGCAATTCGAATATTATGCATATCAAATGGAGGGGGTTGGATTTTAAAGCACACTTTATTACTATGTGTGCATTCGATCCGAAGAGATTTTCTTTGGAAAAAAACCTTTTGTAATTTTTTTGATTTCGAGTATAAGCAATAAAATTTATACAAACATTTAATGTTTGTTCAGTCACATAGAAATCATATCAATTCATTCAGCAAATTAATCTTTTTACACACATTTTAGGCAAAAATTATTTTCTATAGTGTGTCATATTAGTTTTATAGTACAATTTTTTTTCTTAATAGAATGTCAAACATTATTGTTTGGATTAAATCATTATAGGTACACTTGTAATTATTAAAAAATGCAAAATTATTTAAATTATTAAAACATTTTCAATTAAATATACTTAATAGAAAATATTATTTAAATGAATAACCATAAAATGGCAACAAATATAATGATATATTCATTATAATTATATTTGTTACCATTATATTTTAACAAATAAATTTAATTTTTCTAACTTTAATAATATTAAATAATTTGTATAATTTGATATTATTTGTATCATTTGAATCTCTGAAATTTTAACTATAAATCTATAAAAATAAGTAAAATATTTCTTGTCTTAACATTGAACTACTACCAGCAAGAAATTAGTATGAAATTTGACTTACAATCAATTAATTTTCCATTTTAAAATTTAATAGTTCTAGAATTGAAACAAAATATTTAACTTTCATCTCCTGACTCTAAAATGGAATTTACTGAATGAGATTTTATTAAATAAACTATTAGAAATTACTTACAGTCGGACAAAGTTAAATACGCTGTAGTAAAGTTAAAAAATTTAGTACGACACTTCTCTTGGTATCAAAGTTTAAAACACATTAATACCGAAGTATTAATAATTTGTTTTATAATATGAAAACCGATATTGTGTTCATATACAAGAAAAAGAAAAGTACATTTTGATTAATGACCTACTTTTGTGACAGAGTTAATACTAAGTTTCAGTTTGAAAATAAATGAAGCTTTCATTTATAAATGTCAATCCCACAAATATACACATTCATATTATACTTTTTTTTAAGTATAATAACATAAAAATAAAATATTACAATAAATTCTCCTTTTGTCTTGAGGATAAAGCAACAATTTTAATAAAGATAAAATAAATATTTTATGTAAATGAATGCGCATTAAAACGAATTTAGACTTGGAATTGACTGTTGAACTAATTCATAACGAGGCTTTTTAATTTTTTTCTTACACGGTGAATTGTTTCTTCAAAACCACCGGCTTGATGACTAAGTCCAATGTTACTGGAGGCCGCCGACATGGGTATACAACGGTTTCTGTTATCCATCATTGTCATGCCTAAACAATCAGGAGTGTTGGCCTGAAACACGATAAACAAATTCAAATTATTATAAGCGCTAATAGAAATCTCTTTAAATTAAAAAAAAAATATTCAAACAAAACAAGTTGATGATAGGTTTAATTCGTTTGCACAAGTTATAACGTCAACTTTATCTGACTTGGATTATTGTTTTGGAAATCTACTGAGAGTTCTTGAAATAGAATAAACTCAAAACTTTAAATCAAGTTAGTAAATATGTTGTCTTATGCGTCAGAATACGTCTTATTTTGCGGTCAAAACTAAAAGCTTATTTCGTGGAAAAGTGCTGAAGTTTCAAGAGATTTTATTTCTTTATTTTTTTATTTAGGTAAATTCTTCTAGCACATGGGAAGCATTCGTATCATTCTACACGAGACTCAATAGACGCGTTCTTTCCATAAACATATTAGTTTCAGAAAAGAAACTTTTCTACAAAGTTCTACACGAAACTATAAGAAAAGATTATATTAATAAAAGTACACAACGATTCATTCAAGTTTCGCCGTACGCGTGGCACAATTATTTTATTATACGAGTATTTTTATTGAATACATAAAAAATATAATCTGTGGCAGAAATTTAGTTTTTAATTTATACATACATGCTACACCTAACATTTATATAAAACTAGCATTTTAAATTATTTTCTGATAGCTTTGTTACTATAACAGGATCAACGACAATCATCGAGTTCATTAGGCCAGAACAAACTCAAATATGATAATTATGTGTGTTTTTTTTTTTTGCTTTGTACATATGTAGGGTGACAAGTTCAATGGGATTATTCGGAATTCCATTTAAACGGGGGCCACATTGAGACGAAAAGCGAGGGTGAATTTAAATATAAATCTGTATGTAGGTTTTTTAAACCATCGCTTTTCTATATTTACATTATAAAAGGTAACGTGTAAAACTAATAAATATCGAAACACATTTATGAACGATGTATTCGAATAAAACATAGTAAAGTAAGAAATATAACTCGAATTAATAGAGTTAAAATGATTGTAAAATGCTTGTAGTTCTATCTCGTCTTACACAAAACTGCATTTATATGAAAATATTCTCAACAAATACTTATGAGTTATTTGTGTTCAGTCGTAGTGTAAACAAACCTTATAAAAATAATAGTGTAAAACATTCCCCGCCGCAAGAAAAAAATCTTTAAAAATAATGTAAAATAATATATTCAAAACACGCGTAAGCATTAAAAAAACAGTTGTTCGTTTATGAAAAACAAATCCGAAATTCTATTAGATAAATTTAAAAACAAATACATATTAAACTAAATATTTTATCATATATTTTGATAACTACTTAAGCGAGTTGCTATTTAATTTTTCGCATAGTTCCGTTTTGTTTTAACGGTTTTGTTATTTTTATAAAAAATTATGATATTTGAAATATTTTTATTAACGAAAATAACACATATGTAGTGTCTAGTTTCAAAATCGGCTAAATGTATAATTTTCAATCATTTTCGGAAACAACAAAAAAGGACTTTTTTTCATTGCAGTTGTACGAGGACAAATTTCGATGATCAGTATTAACTAGTTATAGTTTTGTCAGGTGTTCAATATTTTTGTAGACCATAAAAAACAATGTAATCTTTAAGAAAAAACAAAAAAATTAGTTTTGAAAGAAAGTGTTGTTTTAGCTGATTTTGAAACTAAACGCTTCAAATGTATATTTTATTGAATAAATAATTCATGCGTGTATACTTTATATGGTGTGAAATCGTTGATGTATACTTAATATTTAGCGCCTTTGATGTCAATTGAATAATTATTTCCGGCACTACTGTGTGATTGCAGTATTACAAAGGTTTCCGGTTAGCATATACTCATTCTTGTAAAAGTAATGAATGACTTGCAAAAATAAAGAGTGAGAAAAGGGTAACTCATTTCACTCATCTCAAATCATAAGCACACTTATAACTTACTTTTTGAGCGTCTCCGAAGTAACTTTGTCTCGCAAGCTAATTTTTCTTAGGGATTTTTCCTCTTGGAAAGTGATTACGAGGGATTTTTATAGGTAAAGAATTCAATTACTTACGCTTTTTACTTTATATTAAGTAATATAGAATTTTAGATACTATAAATATACGTTTGCCGTTAATACTTATTTCTATTTGTTAATGCCCAAAATTAAAAAACTTATTTGATTAGTTAAAATATCAAAACAATTTTTATTAACTAAATATAACGCCAATTATAAACTTTAATTGTTTACATTTTTATTAATTCAAACCAATAAAATGTGAAATAAATCATAAATACTGTTTATTTGATAAATTTATTTTTAGCGTTAAATATTGATTAAATTCGTTGTATATTTTTTTATGATTTATTGTTTAATTTTCCGCGGAACAAATGGAAGGTATTTTTGCAAAGGTAATTCTAATATGAAAAAAAGTCGTAACGACACCGATAATAATGTTGTGTTTAAATAAATGATGACTGCGGTTAGACGTGATAACGCAAAAAACTTTTATTTCAGTCGAATATGTGTTTTTTCTTTAAATTTCCAAAAGTTTCCCAGAAGTTGTTTATAACACAGTCATTAGCGGAGTATAGAGGTACTATAAAGTTATATACAAACGACGTAGGGTAGAGATATGGAAACAAAAATAAAATGGCTACAAGTTGCCCTAAGGTAGAAATGTTCATAAACGAGATGAGTAAAAAATGGTGAGCAAAGGGTGCAACTACTCTCGACGGTTGCCAAAACCTTCTCATACTCTTAATATCCATGTTTTAAACGATCATGACTAATTTAAACATTTTACGAGCGCCCGAAAGTATTAGTTCAATTCATCTACGCAGTGTTTAAGAGGAACGGACCAGTGAATTTTACCTTAATCCCACCGGTCGAAACAATACTTGCATTAGTTTGCATTATGTGTCAGATAAAACGCAGGTAAAATCGAATAGAACATTAATACTTAAAGTTATATAACTACATCTGACTTTTGGCAAAATGCGCATATTTATACAATATAAATATATATATATTCAGCTTTTCGTTGAAAATACAGTTCACAAACGACCGGAAAGAGTGGAGTAGTTTTAAAATTTAAAACATCTCAAAGCCGTTAAAGATAATAGAAAATGAAAAATTGAACATTACGCAGTATGGCGCCCAAATGGAATATCGTTTTAATTTCATCGTTGAACTTTAATATAATCATAGTGACATTTGATTGATTACTTAGGGAATACCGGAAAGCGGATACGACCGATTGCTAACATTTCGATGAGTACACGAGACATGTCAGTAGTCGGACACGTCATATTATAAGTTTTAGCTCTCGTGTAATATGATGTAATTATAACACAGTCCACCGGATTTGTATGAAGTGTTGCTAGAAACAATTGACTATGTTAACTCTTCATTTAATTGTTACGACAGCTGCTGGAACTATGGAGATTAGAATTCATGAAACAAGTACATGGTATAATGAATTGGAGTCTTAAAGATTGTATGCGCTATAAAAGATAGTCATGATTCGTTTTATTGAGAAATGATATATTAAAAATCTTCATAAATAATACTTTAATCTCTGAAAATAAAAATAAAATATCAACTATAATCGCTCTACTTTCGTTGAAATATCATTTTTAGCCGAGTATTATGCATTATCCCAATTTTATTGTAACCAATTAGTTTTTAGTAGAATAAAAAAAATCTTTAAAATATTAAGAATATTCTTGTTCTGCGTACTTTCAACTATACAATAAAGATAATTTTCTCCAGATCCAAGAACACGAATCATTTCGGATGTCTTTTGTACGATTGTTTTTATTATTTTGGCGAATTTCGCGCACCCCTTATTAAGAAGCACGTAGCCTTCGGACGCAATTACCATTAATGGAAATGGTAGGCCAAGTTAAATTCGATCGACGTGAGAAAGAGAAGCTATTAAAGAGTTTGGGAAAATCTTTTCACGCAAAATAACGGTACAACAGTATACTAAGTTGGTTAAAGGGTAATTATTATCTTGATGATGCAGAGAAGAAGCTCATTTATACTAAAATCTAGAATGGATTATTAAAACGTGCACGGTTCTACGGAGTGTAATTCCGGTTCTTTTAATCTTAAAGAGCTGTATAATACAATATACATATATATTTCATCGGTGACGAATGACTCATAGTGACATATTATTACATAGACGATTACCCGCAGAACAAAACTTTTTTTTTAATTCACTCATTCACTTAATAACTGAACCGAATCGAATTTAATAAAAACCGTCTTGATCGTTGACTGAAGATTATAAGACATTAATAAGCAAAGTACAGCTAATTCGCCCAACTGTATATTAAAAAAATGTATTTTTTTTGTAATGGAATGTGAATTATTTAGTGAGGTGGAAAAAAATCATACCACACCGCAGGGAATCAACGTTATAACATTTAACAATGTTGTTCGAAATTCTGTGAAACGGCGTTATTTAATTTATTTACTTCCAATATTACTTAATAAATGATTGCCAGAGGCTTGCATGTTTATTTCAATACATTTTTCGTATGTGTGCCAACAAAGTTATACACATACCACGATTGTAAAATAAGAGTATATACTGTTCGAAGGGGATAAAAATCAAATGGGACTGCGTGTAAATTTTTTATGGAAACCCTTCGGCAACACCCGGAAAGAGTTTCAGGGTCTTCTGATTGGCATGCAAATATACTGCCGTCTGCAATCCTGTCGACAAGTACCGCCAATAACGCCGCGAAGAAATATATTATTATTTCAGAAGCTCATGTTAGATCAGATAACTTTAAAAAGAAAAACAAGCAGATTTAAATTGTTCACTTTATGTAAAACATATTTACATCAAACGAGGTATATTTTTTCAATAAGCTAGATTTGTGTTGGGTAGTAACATACTTATATAATCTATAAAAGTATGTCGAATAATATCGAAATAAATTATATTTAAAATAACAAGGAAAAAACAGATTTTATTTATTCACTATTAAATTTATGATCATGATTGTTTAAATTTCAATTTGATATTAATAAAATCTCACGTATTCAGCTAAGCTTAATAGAACGAGCGCTAGATACAAAACGTGTATACGAATTAAAAAAATATTTTATTGTAGCTTTTTCAAAATTCAAGTAGAAATTTTGATGACAATAAAAACTAAAGTTTTAATTAAAAACTATCATTGATTAAGTACTATATGTACTCGAATAACAAACTTCTATAACATTATAGTCTCAAGTACATTATATTATCACTAGAATACATTTTACGATGTTAAAATAATACACTAAAACAGTATAATTTCGGTTGAGCATTTTGGAGAAATATTTACTGTTCATACATATACTTTGGGACAAGGGAAGTTGTGCAGAAATAAATTGTATTTATAACGAGTTAGGACCTACAAGAAATGGGTTCAAGAATTAATTACAGCTGGGTAGCGGAAGAGGCAACAGAATTTACATTAGTATTGGAGTAAAAAGTTGTTAAAAGGAACGACAGTCAGTGTCCGAGTCTCATAAATGTTTATTAGTCCCCATGTACACAGCAATAAAATGAATAGACGGAAAAATATAACAGTAAAATCTAATTTTTGAATTATTACGGTTGTTGGACGAGCTTATTACAGTGGCAAAATTAAATATCAGGATCGCTATTAACTCTTTTTCAAAAATCAGACAAATTTAAAGGGAAACTGCTCAGAGATTAAATTAAATCGTAAAAGTAATAGCTCAAAAAATGTATTATTATTTGCAGTGTTCTACTTAAGATTGTATAAACTTTACATAATGCATACATAGTTCGTTTTTTACAAAAAACTGTAGCAAACAAAAAAAACCATGCGCCGCGTTGTTCATTGTTCGTTTAGAGTAGACCTCTTTTGTATGCCAAGATTCGAGATGAATAAATTATAAATTGCAACATTCAAGGGGGAAATTACAACCTTATAATCGAATTTATTCCTTTAATCAATACAACACTGGTCGTTTCCCTAAAGTCGTGATACGTTTAGCACGTGATTGTGGCGGCTGTCATCGCATAATAATAATACATACCATAGAAAATGTACGATGATTGAAGGCGATGTATACAGTAGGGAGCGAAATGAAAACGTAACAGACATTTTCGGGTCATCAACCATGACACAACGAAATGAAAAAAAATTGAGACGGATCAATAAAAAAAACGGCACCAGAGACAGAATTTATTAGTACTCATGTATAATGTATTTTTAAGTTTACTTCAAACCGACGGATTAATTAAAATCCGATTACGGTTTGATTTTAGATGGCACATTTAAAACGAACTTTATTTTTTTTTACGTTTCGCTTAAAGCACAGTAGGTTGGCTGGTTACCAGGCGACCCAAGTGTTAATTAATGATAAGCTAACAGGGACGCCAACAACGAAGGGTTTAGAAATATTTAGGGACCGTTCTCAAGTACTTTCACACATGTGAAAGTCATCTTTTTCGCACGAGTGTAATAATAATATAATATGAGCTGTAAAGAAGACGTTTAGCAACAGCTGTGCACTTTTATAACGTATGATAATGGAAAGATAGGCGAGAGTGCACACAAGTGATAAACGTAGTTAGCTATGTGGCATCACATTATCATGTTATTACAACAACAATTGAAATCTTTAGACGTCTTAGTGGTATACACCGCAGTTAGATTTAATCGTAAAAATCCAATAATTGTTCACTCACCCTACTGGTACAAGAAGACACGTTTTGCTGGCTTCTCGTCTTGTCTCTTCTATGCGTTTTGAAATTCCGCAAAAACCGCGTAAGAGTAATCTTCTTTTTGCCGGGCCGATCTGAAAGAAAACAATCAAAACTCAGTGAAAATAATATCTGTGAATATGATGCTCATTTACAGTGCAAGTTTATCCTAAATCAAATGAAAATGTTTATGTTTGAGCGGGCGATTTTCTATGAACGGTAATTGACCATTTACGAACAGGCACTTACTTTAGTTAAAAAAAGAAAAACTTTAGCGAAAGAAAGGGATCCCATAAAATCACACGTTTTTGACACTATTTGGGACAAATGAGGGTTGTATCGAACTGGACGTGAGGAATTCTTTATGCGTCGGCTATATTAAAAGACCACCGCTGTTTTCTATAAGCTATACGTGTCGATATTACTTTGTTTACGGGGTACCTAGAGCCGTTTTTATTATTTATGTTGCATTTTCCTATAATAAAGTTGTGGAAAAAAAAAATCTTTCTCAAACTCAACGTCTACAGCCCACAGTTTACAAAAGCCAATAGATTGACATAAATCAACCTAGAAAATACATAAGAATTGACGTGTATTTTACCTACTACTATGCACTGTTGGCCAAATATCCCTGTTTGCGGTATAACCTGTATCATAGATACCCCTCACTCGTATATGTTTTCGAATCCTCTCTTCGTACGTAATATACATACACAGAGCCACAGAGCATGTATAACTACATGTGGTTCGAGTAGGCCGCCCAAACTTCTTCGTACCGTTTCTGTTTCCCCAGGGGATTCAGTCTAATTTCCATTTAAATTTTATTCTTGCCGCCAACAACCCTACGTTTCCCGGATGAAATCCATTTCAACCAATGGATTCTGCGTCCTTGGAAACCGCGAAATTGGCGAGAATACCAACGGGAGCGGATCCATAGTGGTCGGACGGTAGGTAAAGTTAGGAAGACTTTTTAGGCAAGACTGACTTCATTTTGAGGTGAAAATAGTCATAAAATATAGAAGGTGCCAGTTCATTCCTTTATAACATTTCAAATACTGTTTAGTGTACAGAAAAACAACAAGGCGGAAAATCTAATAAACAGTATTATTTAGTTTTTACGGTTTGATTAATATTTAATAAGTTTAGTTTATATTACGTTCATTTAGATTTCAGATAATTTCTAAAATATTCAAAGAAAAACAAGTTGAAATCGCTTTATGAATAATATAGTATTTTGTTTAACATGTAATATTATATGATAAACATATTCTAATATTATTAGAATAGACAATGAAATTGATACACTTATTGACAGGGCCGCATTTAGGAATTGAGCCGGCCGGGGTACTGAATTTAACCGCCTTTAGTGACTAGTACTTATACCCATGTCCTCCCTGGATGTGGGTCTACTTATTGGAATAAGGGTCCAATTTGATTTTTTTTACAAAATGTTTTTTTTTTTTTACTAAAATAATTTATTTGAGCAAATTTACTTATTCTGTTGTACACAAAAACAAGCGTTTTTCAATTTAATAGTATTTTAAAATTAAAATATTTATTTGAACAAGGGCTCAATTTTACCGTTTTCAAATTATTATTAGAGATAAGTATAAAAAAATGTATAAGTCTATATTTTAAAAGTAAAACCAATTCATCATTTAATGATAATAAAAAAGGGAAAATGATATATATATATATATATACATATACATATAATTATCTTGAAAAAATGTTTTTTGTCTCTTGAAAAAACTATACCCTTATTCCAATAAGTAATTCAATTCTGTTTGAATAATTTTTGTGTTAATAAAATAGTATACATATATCATACATCTAGGCTAAATAAAACTCCAGCGAGAATAATAATAAGTATTGATAATATAAAAAAATTGTTTTTCACATTCTTACCCGCAGGAGGAAATTCGTAGAAGTATGCTGACCTTGGACTTAGGCAACTGAAACAAAACAAACAATTGCATGTTTAGTAACCTAAATGATTAAAAGATTATGATCAAGTATTCACTTGTATTAAAAATAATTTCTTATGCATTTAATAATTATGAAATGTTGAATAGAGTCCTTTGCATTACTTAAAAAGGTCGACTTAATATATTTAACGATACCAAGTGCCAGTATAACCTTTCTTGAAATGTCACCTTAAAGAATAAGAAGCATTGCTACTTTCCCTTGACATGAAACTTTCTACAAAGATTTTTCGGAAACTTTAGCACTTAACGACTATGTGATGTAAAAATCAACACTATATAATTTTAAGTAATAATTAAAAGTAACTTTAAATAAATAAAACAACTCCAGACAAGAAATTTCATCATGTAGTTTTAGTTTGCAAAGAAATACTTAATACTTGCTATACGTTCTTCTGACTTAAAATGAATATTTAATATAACTTTACGAGTATAAACCTAACCTACGGTGTTTTATACATAGTTAATGAAAATTCAAAATTTTACTTCAGTCTATCACATAACTTGTAATAAATTATTACTTTCCAATTACATTTTATTTTATATTTACAACAAACATTCATAATGTGATCAATAAAAAATTTGTATAGTTTTCTTCATAGATGTATAAATTACAAACAATGAATAATATCTATATTAAAAGTTTTATAAAGTTGGATACTACATTGATCAATAAATTTACATAATATCGTATAAAACATACATTTTACGTTAGTTTCAGTTGTAAATTTTTAAGGTTTTAGTTAAGTTGGTATTTGGTATTATGTGATTAAATTCACAGATATTTTATATTTGTTGTTATTCAATACCAAAGCTCGTTTATAATTCGCAAGTAGATACTAATAATTGGTTTTACAATAAGGATAAATGATACTAATTAAATACGTAAATCATTTCTGTCGTTGGTGACAAGTTTTATGGTATTCTACTGGGAGACCCGTAAATTCGTTTTGGTTTTAATAAAATACTTTGAAACAAAATTATGCTTTACATTAAAAAATTTGATTTGCATCAAAGATACTTGATGGACTAATTAATATTTTAAACATTATTACGAGTAAGCGACAAAATATTTAATCGAAAATCACATGACAGCTGAAGTAAATATTATATGGTTCAACTAAAGACACAGATAATCTCAGTTTGTTTATTACATAGCTGACGATTTTGGTTCAGTTATTAAAAATAAAATTACATTATTGTAATCGCTTGTAAATTAAGTATTATATTATGAAGGATAGACAAGTTAAAATGAAAAAAAAAGAAGATTTTTTTTTGTATGGGTTTAAATAGCTGCGAGATGGTTGAGATAAGAGGTCGGCTCCTGAGGGATTACAAAGACATGGAATAATAATACTGTTAAGGTAAATAAAAAAGCTAAAATAAAAATACAAAAATGAATTATGAGAATGTAATAAATTTTCGATGGTAATGATCATTATTATAATAACAACGTGTGCTTATTATTCTTGTGATGTATTCGAAAGAGCCTTTGTGAAACATGTATAAAACAAGTAGACTGAAGATCCGTTGAGAATACCGAAGAGGAATAGAACGTTTGATGTGTTTCGTTGATACAACATCTATAATTTTATAATGGCTAAGTAATATATTAATATAAATCGTCACGACATAACGCGATTTATAGACTGCAAAGAATTTTAAGCAGATTAAATGTTGTAGGCATGCTCAGGTAAAGATACAATATAAACTTTATAAAACATGATATTAACAATATGAGCACATTTATGTAACATTGAATATACATACTATATTACTACATATATATTAACAAAAATTTATTATCATCGTTTAATTAAGGTAAATGTGAACCAGGGTAAGTAAATTTTAAAGGAAAATTCACATGGTTTATGTTTGACATGCAGTAAAAATAATATATATACATCTAAAGTGTGTTTTTGATTTTTGTCAACCGGAAGTAATATTTGTATAATAATCTTAAATAAATGATGGATTAAAAAGTAACCCCACTTTGACTCTGTTAAATCTTAAATGCTTTCAAATAAATATGTATTTTTTCAATTTATAAATGATATAATTATTCAGTTTTGAGTTCATACTGTGTAAAATCTAGAAATAATGAAAAATAGCAATTTTTTTTTTTTTTAAGTTTATTCATAATGACATTTTTATGTATTATCAACGATCAAGAAACTAAAAAATATTAGGTATAATACAGATAAAATGGAAAAAGTTAACTTATTTAAATTAGAAGAGGAAAACAGATCTATTTTATTCGAGTCATAAAAACGTAAAAATAATTTTATGTATTATCTTTTCTACGTATAATATAGTTTTTAAAAGATATAAAAATAATATTACAAAAATAAATAGAATAGACTACTTATATACCCTTACAGTTATAAAAACTAAATCGTGGAATGTCAAAAAAAGTTTTCTTATAATGCTTACACCACAAAAATAATTACAACATTATACTAAGGTTTGTTATGATGAGTAAAGTGAAACAATATATTTTACTTTGCTCTGCCAAGATAGCTGTCGGCCATTAGGCTTCTCATTGTAATAATTTTAATTGTGCAATAATAATTTTCCACCGGCTTAAGAGAAAAAAACTAGCCACTAAAACAAAATCGACAAAAAACGTTAAAATTCTAATGAGAATCCGTTTAAAGTTTGTGAAGACTCTGCCCAGTACACTGAAATTAGGTTTTGGTGAAAATTCGCATCACAAGAGTCGGACCGGGAAATATGTTTTGACAGCTTATAAGAGGAAATTTGCATAAAAACGACTTTGGAATTTTGACGAGAAACTAGCAGTAACGTTGCCTGAGTTCTGTCTCAGTGGATGATTACTATAGTTAAAATAATAACGGTTGGAATATGATTAGTTGAAAAGGAAATTCTATTTTCTCTCTATTCTAATTTAAGCTTAATCTGACATTATTACACAATTTTCAACTACATTAATATAAATAATATATTAATTTATCATTAATATAAATAATCTGTAATTTTATCTTAGGGACTTAAAAGTTAAAAAAGTTTAATATAAAATAAGGTACTATTTACTATAGTAAATGACATATCATTTTTTAAATCAATGTTTATATTGATCGATAAAAATTCGAATTTTCAATTAATTACGTATAGATAAATGTTGCTTAAAATATGAATTGTAAGAGAAAATAATTTTTAATACACTAATATAAGTATTAAAAATATCTTTTTAAAAACTTTAATATAATCATTATATTTTTTGTGAGCATTCTGAATTAAAAAAACCTACATTACAAGTTATTATAAGGCATTGTCTGAAATTTTCCTATGTCAATGTTTAAATTGAAAATGTCTCGTATAAATACGGAAATTCCAAATTAATTTAGGGTCAAACATAACACCAATGCATAACGTATTACAGTAAATTTGTCTAATTAAGAGATTAATATAAATAGGGTATTATGGTTAAATGTAAAGGGAATTGTATGCGTTAGTATTGTTATTCTTGGGTTAATTTAAAATGATAGATGCAACAAGAAGAGAGTAGGAACAACGAAATATAGCATATGAGTTGTGTTACCCTACCAGAATAACGAATAGATACAGTAAACCAATTACAAGATTACACTGAGATTGCTAGATAACCTTTAATATATTCATGTCTCTGGAATTTTATCGTTTAATACATTTTTAAAATTTTCATATGTTTAATTGAACGAAGTTAAAATAAAACATAACATTTAATTATTCACATATATAATACAATATTATGTACTTCTATTGAATAATAATCATACTAAACAAGTACAAAATAGATAAAAAATTATTTTGTACCATGATGATAATGTAGTAATAATGAGTCAGGGAAAATACTTTAAAAGCTTGATGAAAGTATTTCAATTAAGTTTATGAAATATCCTTGTTTCAAACGAAGGCATTAATTTTTAGTAAGTTGACATGAATTGCTGATGACAAAAATTAATTAATTCTAGTCTGTATAAAATCTTTAGATGTGAAAAAATGTTATAAAATAAAACTGAACATCTCACATAAAGGGGTTAATGTCATCAGCTGTTTGTTGTGGTTTTGTGTAAATAGTATGGTGGATGTACTTTGTGGAAATATGTACAATCCAAAGAATGAAGGGGAAACTGAATTACTGAGGAATTTGGTATGTTTAAAACTTATAATATAAACACAGAATCTTTGTAATTTCCAATGTCAGTAAACTTAGTAATGCTTCAAAGACTCAACGAGAAACGTCGTGATAATAAATAATAAATGTTAGGTGAATACTTTACAAAATAAAAATATTGGAAAAAACAAAAAACTAAATAAATACAGTTTTGTAAAAACTGTAAAGTTTCATTAGAAAAATCACTAATTAACTTAATCCAAGTTATTATAAATTATTATTTTAATTGTTACGGTTATTTTTTAAAATAAACAGATTTTGATAACAATATAAAATTACAGTCGACAAAAATTTGAAATGTTTAAACTACATTAAATTTATAACTTAGTTTTATATTATGATTTTAAGGTTTTGAATAAGAATGACTAATAAGCTATATTAATTTTTTAATATCATCTTTTTTTTAATAAAAAAAAATTAAATGAAACGAAAAACAATCAAAAATTATTAATTGTAGAATGAAACGTGTACAAACTCAACAAAGCTATAAATGTTAAATTATTTTATATTATATTTTTAATTAGTATAAATAAAATTAAATCATAATTTTACTTTAGTAAATTTAGCCGGTATTTGTCCGTTTAAAGGTATCATGTAATTAAGTATTCATGGTTAACACATTATATCGAAACGTAGGTGAGAAAAGTATTGATATTGCATACGCGATACGCCGTGTTACAAACCCTGAATTCTATACTGAATAATCACTATATATTTCGTTAAATCCATTAATATAACTGAATAATCACTATATATTTCGTTAAATCCATTAATATAATGCTACAATAGTCAA